CGCTGCTGCTAACCAGATGTCGGATATGAATGAATGATTAAACCTCAAAATATGAATGAAAAATGACCTTAAAAATCTCCAAAATATGACAACAAAAATGACTCTATTTTTTGAATGTTTGGCTTAATTTTTGATATATTTTCTTGTAATGCTCAATTTCTATCAATTAAACAAGTTCTGGAGTGATTTAATTCATTCCCAATGAATTATATCACCTTAGGCGAAAGTGAACGTAAATTTCTGAAAGTTTCTCATCATTGTGAGAAAACTTAATTTCTTGTCATTTTCTGTCGATTTGGTTGCCAAATCTTAGAATTTGGTCAAAAATGATAAAATGAACGAAAAAACCCCGAAATATGATCGGGAATATGAATATGTCCCAAAACCCGAAAATATGACCAATATGAGAAAATATGTTTTGACATACGTGACCTACTAGTGACCATAAACATTCTCAGAAAGTTTGGCGACTGTAGGTCGATAAATGGAAAAACTCATTTTTCATTCATATCCGACGTATGCTGATAACATATGAGAGTGAGGCACGAACTTTAACAGTTTTCCGGACAAAACCTGGAGTTCTCATAGACCTGAACTTTTGGAACGTTAGCGTGAGTTCAAAGATGCGAAATAATGATTCCATTAACAGGCCCCAAAATTGGAGAGGGCAACTTTTAGGTGCCGCGAGGCATCCAAAGGTTTACATACATACATATACACGCACATTTATTTCAGTCTTCAAAAAATTAGAGAGTTAATTTATTGTTAGTGTAATTCGAGAGGTTAAATACCCCTTTTTCACAGAATGAAACCTGATTATTTCAATATTTAAAAAATCGAAATAATCGAAATTCGATTAGAAAAATATTCTTAGTTTTGATGTCCTACTTTACATCGCCCCTGGTTCCCTGCGAAACACCCCTGGTGAGTGTAATCTTGAATTTTAGCATGGATAGTAAAATAATCTACATTTGTCCAGAAAACTTTATTGATCTAAATTCCCTTTGCAACAATTCTGGCAAGGAAAGCATTCGAAATATTTATGTATTGAATGAAAAATTACATCAGATGAGCGCCGTCACGATAATGCCCCAGCAAACATATGGGCATGATCGGGCGTTGTCTATGAAAAACATAACTGATTTATTAAAAATTAAAATGTCACGAAATTTCAAAGTGAGGACTTTTGATCAGTTTCTGCCAGCAGTACACACTCCTGTGAACTATGTACTAAATTTTCTGAAGGAACATGTACATATAGTATAATAAAATTTGAAAAGGACCTGAGCATGTGTATTTTTTTGCCTGTAGAAAATAAAATTGGTATCATGAGTGACAATAATAAAAACCGGAATCATTTCACACCTCAAATTTCGTTTCAATTTCTTTCGGCCACTTCAAGCAGTGGGAGAAAATGAAAGTTGGAAAAATCGCTCCCGTCTGCGATTTGCAACTCAAAGGCGAGTCAATATTTTTGACAACGGTTTTTGCCATGTATTTCCTAATTTTTGTCCTTACAACTTTTTTCGAGAGTTTTTTGAGGACTTCGTATTACAGAGGGTGGGCCACTTAACTTGAGAAATTTTCAAACGCTCGCGCGAACAAACTGGCAAAACTTAAATAAACCCGGCCTACACTGTTTGATATGCAAACCAATTAGATCAAACTGTAATTTTTTTCTACTTGAAAATCTGAAAAACTGCTCCTCCCTGATCATTTTAAGTGGAGGTATGTACTAGTGACAAAGTTTCCAGCCAGGGTTGCACCGGAAGTGCGATCAAAAAAGGGTCCATGCACGTGGACATAAAATTTCTGTGGCCTCAATTCATTGAATATTAAGTAGAGAATGCGTGAGAAAGCAAGCAATTAATCAGGTATTGCCTACACCCCTTAAAAAACGCTCCCTACAATTATGGCAAAAGAGCTATAAACGAAGCTCAACCATTTGATTGACTAGGAAACCCCAAAAAGCTTTCGTAGGTTGGGCAAACTACTAAAATCGAATTTCACAACTAATCGAAGGGTCATTAAAAGAGATTTGGACAAAATGAAACAGATAAACAGAAACAGAAAATAAAACTACCTGAGTTAAACGTGCGTCACATCACTAATTGCTACATACTTTTTGCAAAAAAAGCTGTGCAAGAACCACCTTGCTGGAGGTAGGGACGAACCTGTGGTCACAATCGACCAAGCTTTGTTCAGGGTAGATGACCTGAACGCGACAAGGTCAGTTTGTTGTACGTCGTGGAGAAAATGTACGAATTAGCTACTACTTGAGATGGACTTTTTTCAGGACTAGTGGTTAAAAATAATTCCTCAAAAGTGGCTGGAGATGTTTTCATCAAGGAAAAAGCGGTTCAGACTTGAAGCTGAGACTAAGGGTCATCGGATCGAGCAAATTAATTATCATAAAAAAATTCATTTGTGGCTAAGAAAAATTGTTGGAAATTTCACAAGTTAAGTGGCCCATCTAGGTATTTGTAGAACTTTGTATCAACATTTTTAATATCATGCACATTATACAGTATGTAACACACTTAATGCTACGATGACATAATTTGTATATCGCCATGATCTCACTATTTGTAAAATTGCAAACTCCTTCCAAAAATCTCAAAAGTACTTATACAATTTCCTCGTTACCAATTTTTAATTTTGGAGACAGGTGAAAGGCCACTATTCTTATTCTAAAAAATCTGAGGGGCCAAAATAAAACTTCGGGGATATTTTTTTTAACTTTCTAATATTTTTTATTGCATCCGACATGCGTTTTGAAGGAAAATGAGCTTTGGTTGGACCGTGTACGATTTTTTTGACGCGCACAGGATTTTTCGCCAAGGACAGGTGTGAGGTCAAAAATCGCCACCGCGGCGAAAACTCGAAAACTGAAATATACATTTGTATATCCAGTATTCAAACTTATATTTAAGTTTTCGAATTTTCGTCGCGGTGGCGATTTTAGACCTCACACCTGTCCTTGGCGAAAAATTCCTGTGCGTGTCAAAAAAATCTTACACGGTCCAACCAAACCTCATTTTCTATCAAATCGGATCGGATTTTCAATATCGGATTTTCCTTCGGATCCGATAAAAAATATTAGAACAATACTAAAAAAGTTTTAAAAAAATATCCACGAGGTTGTTTTTTCGACGTCTCAAATTCGTTCAGGAAAATAATCGTGACCTTTTACCTGTCTGCGATATTAAGAATTGGCGACGAGCAAATTGTCCGTATATGCTTTTGAGATTTTTGCACAGCTTGAAATTGAGCTTGAAATTTTACAAGTAGCAAGATGATGGCGATATAAAAATTATGTCATCGTAGCATTAAATATGCTACATACTGTATCTATTTTCAGAAAGTTTGTTGACTCCCTCCCCCGAAAAAAAATATTGTAAAAGCACACGAGAGTCTCAGAGAAAGCCCCAGGCATCGGGTTTTCCAACAAACTCGGGTTTTTGGACAATGCCTTCGTATTTAAGCGTGATACGAAAATGAATCTCTTTCTTCGAAAGCACAGGTGTCAAAAATCAAATTAATTTTCTCAAATGTGGTCTTTCATGTTAGGATTATTTTGTTGAGTTTATTACCTTAGTTCCTTGAAAACCTAATGAAACCCAAATCAAAACCAATTAAACCCCCTTGTTATTTTTATTGAAACCCTCGGTTTTTCTGTACCCTGCAAGAAATAGAAACACTGCGCCAACTCCAACGTTCAAAACAAAAATTTTAAACTCAGGTGGGTTCAAACCCCACTGGATTCTTCGTATTTTTTTATATTTACTTTTTGGAGAAAATTGTTTTTTTTAACAATTCAGAAATTTTTAAATTTAAATTCGAATGCGAATTAAACCATCCACATCGGAAAAGCCGTAGCCACTTATCAATTATTTATAGTTATCCATATTTGTTTCTTTTAATTGGTCATGTACTTCCCGAGTAAATCCCTCAACTTTAATATCAAGCCCTGAGGGAAGACTATAGCTAGTTACATTAATCACGTTAGTTCGTTGTATTGATTTGAACTGTACAATTTCAAGATTTCAACAAAATCGGAGTATCACACTTCAAAGTATCGTATTCTGAGTGAAGTTCTGGTAATGTTTGGTTTAATTTCTTGGTTCTTTCAAGTTTTGAACCTTTTGGATACAAATTTGCATTTCCGCGAGATTAATCATTTACACTTTCAGTTCGAGTATAGGTTTTAACAATAAAATAATTGTTGAGCAACAATAAAATAATGTAAATTGCTGTTGAAATGTATAGTATATAATTGTAAATTTTTAACAGGGAATTTATCTCATGAGGAAAGTTAGGGGCGCAAGAAAAATTTTGCCTAGGGCGCAAATATACCCAGCCCGGGCCCTGGCCATCCCTGCAAAATTCCTGGTTCTGATGAGAACTATAATTCTTATTTGTGCGAGAAAATTCAAGAAAAATGGAACATTTTAGAGGTGGGTCATCATATTCATCAAGAAGTCATCCAGAAATTTTTAACGAATATTCGTTTGATAAACCGGTGGAGAGTAGCTTGGTTGATAAACAGATAAGCACGAGAAACTCAGGATAGTTTGAGTTTCGCGGTGGAAGGGTCCACTTTTTGTAGGGGTGTGGGACATTGTGTTACATGAACTGTTTAACATAGTGTAAGAGGCCCCTTAACCGGCTTTAGTAGATTTATTTTGTTTTGATTTTGTCAGCTGCTGATTTCCTCGTGTTTTGAGTTTGAGTCGAGGCCGGCTGCATGAAAACGGGGAATCGGATAAAGAAGTGAATCATATCGTAGTTTTTCATAGCAATAATGCATTTGCAAAAAACTGCAGATTTTGGTGATTTTAGCGTACCAGTAAATCATGCAATAAGTACGATGTAGCATAGATCTATCTATGTTCTTGCATATCAAGTACTTTTATTGGTATTTAAAATGTATGTATGTATGTATCAACCTAAAAATTTACGTGGTATTATTCATGAATTTTGTACTACTGGTAAAATTCAGTTCGTCATTTTTAAAACTTTATTCTGCATTTGAAAAATTGTGTGCACAAATGCCAACTTTATTTACCTGTAAGAATTTGTATGATTTGGAATATTGTTCATAAAAAATTGTCATTGTCATATTTTCTATGAAAAAAAAATTAACTAAAATAAAGTCAGTCCTTTTTTACCCTATTTATTTTCAAGTAATTTAGAGTTATGTACAGCTGTGATTACTGAGAACACTCGAGCGGGTGAATATTCCCCTACAGATGGAGCAAGAGTAGCACTTTTCGCTATGTTCCCGTCGCTGGTGGTCTATCCGCAGGAGCGTGTTTCGGAACACATACGGACAAAATGGGCAAACGCAGTCCGATTCTGCGCCCTAAGGATAAAAAAACGTATATTTTAAAATTATACGGAACGTGCATATATTACGTCACCAGAAAATGACCGTTTTTATCCTCTTCTCTTCCCAATCTTACTCATTCTAACAATGTGTAGGCATCAAGGAGTTTTCTCCGATTTTGACCGGTCCTTAATTTAAATTTTTAAATTGTTAAAATTGAAAATTGTACACCTTATTAAAAATAATAAAAAAATACTCGAAAATTCCCCCACCGGAAAATTCATAAGTACGGGGACGTTTACGTATTTTCTTGGAAAATTGGCCCAAACAAAATCCGAGAAAACCACTTTATGCCTACGCATTGTATGCAAAAAACAATCAACCCATCTTTTCAATGACATAATATATGGACATTCCCTCCCTGCATTTGTACCATTTTTGGCGAGTCGCATCCCACCAAATGTGTCACCCAGTCAGCCTCCGAGTCAATCTTCGTTCCGCATCCGGACGGACAGGACGTCTTGTCGGGAAAGTGGACCAACTCCACGTGCCGGTGCATGCTTGGCTTCCATTGGAACAAAGTTGAACACATGGGACAAGGGTGACGCTCCGTTTTTGGTTTTGCCGCCCTTGGAACACTGTGACTTTGGCGCATGTGCGCTTGCAACATACTCACGCGAGGAAACAGCCTCGGACAAAGGGTGCATTTCCGACCAGCCCTGGGATGAACTTGGAACCTGTGTTGGAGTAATCTTGTCTTGGACGGGAAAGTCTGCCCGCATGTGATACATGCCACTGGTTGGGCGGGTTTGGGGGGAGGTCTTGGGGGGTCAGGACTGTAAAAAAATGGAAACTTTAGTTTTTAAAAAAATTTAAATTCTTCGTCAAGTTAGAATTTTTATACCCTAGGAATTTCAAAATTTATCGATTTAGATAATTACCCAATTCAGATTCGATACGTGTTTGATGGCACTTAAAAAGCTGAATTTTTCAAACTTTTTCTGCGCAAATTGTACAATTTCCCCTATACCAGATAAGGGTAAAAACATGATTTTGCGTGATTCTCGTCAAAAACTCAAAAATTGGAACCTACATATTTACATTTTTGAAAATTAACATTCGTCTTAATGGAAGGAAACCATGAAAATTTTAATTATAAAATTATATCAACCTCGTTCTAAAGAGAAATATAAAAAAGTACAATATCAGTCCAAAAAATAACAAATCCTCAACATTCCAAAACCATTTAAACTTTATACTCACCGCTTTTCCGTCGTTATTGGGCCTAAGCAAATATGTAAATATGCAAATATAAATTTAGACAATTTTAAAACCACCGTTTTTTAACGAATTGTATTGAATCTCACCATACATAAAGGAACAAGAAATAACCTCGTCCGGATGAATATTCTTGTTCTTCATGTGGCGAATGAAATTGTCCTTTTTCCCAAACTTTATCCCACATTTAACGCATTCCCACTCTTTTTGTGCTAAAAATTCATTAAAATAATTATAATTATGCAAATTGTTACTCATTCACAATTCATAAATTATGTAAGGCAAAAATCGCGATTTTCTAAAACTCCCCGCTTGCCCTATCGCGTTACGTAATTTAAAAAGGTCCCCACTCATTCTTAAGGTGCATTTGTATGCGGGTTTTGACTTTGATTTGTTGCGTCTCAACTTTCCCTTCTTGATAAATTGATAATTTTTAGGTTTATAAAGTTAGGAGTCTAGAATTTTCATTATTTTCTTCCATGAGAAGATATTTACTTATTATTTTTCATCTATTTCATATTTATTTCGTCATCGAAGATAAAAAATCGAAATTCTTCACTCGTAACTTTGTAAACTTAAAAATTATTGATTTTTAGTATTTTTTAGGTGCATTAAAATCTTCATATTGTAAAAAAAACCCACGGAGACGATTCAAAATCTCCATTTGAATATATGGGAAAGTTGAGACACAACAATTCTAACTCAAAACTCGCATACAATACCACCTTAAAACTCACCCGAAATTTGGAAGTCTGGATGAATATTCTTATTCCTCATGTGGTTCTTGAGGCCCAAATACGTGCCAAAGGTGACGTTCGGTTGGCACATTTTGCACACAAATTTTGCTTCAGTATCGACACCGGCTTCCCACGAATTTGGAACGTCCCCCTCCCCCGTGGTCGTGGGGGCAGTTATGGCACACCGGTGACCACTGAGGATGGTCTGAGTGGTAAAACTTTGCCCGCAAAGAGAACACGGGTACATATTTTCAGGATGGACGCGCAACCGATGTTCAATCTGCAGAAGGACGTTGCGCAACACGGCGGGACAATATTGGCAAACCAAGTCAGATTCCGTACTCTAAAAAAAACACAAATTCCGCCAATTAAAAAAAATCACATTTTACAAAATACAAAAATTAATCTTAACAAATCCCTCGAAATCAGCACATTCTTAATAAATTGTGAGAATTTATCTGCACGACAAATTTCTCGCAAATTTCTGGTCGATTAGAAAATTTGTCTCTCAGAATTTTAAAATAAATTCCCAGCAGGCGGAAATGATTAAAAATGGGCTGATTGGCCATCAATCTCTACTTTAATTGAAACATTCATATATTACGTTATCAAAAAACCGCCAATTTTTACACCACCTACCCACCCCCACCTTCCTTATCCTCCCCATGTTAGATAAGCTTACCACGAGCGAGATATGCGATACAAAACCTGTCAAAACTACCCACGAACTTTTTGAATCAAAAATTATGATAACGGAAAATATGGACGTTCCCTTTCAGATTTTGCTTTTACCATTTTTGGTGAGTCGCACCCCTCCAAATGCGTCACCCAGTCAGCCTCCGAGTCAATCTTGACTTGACATCCGTACGGACAGGACGTCTTGTCCGGGAAATGGACCCGCTCCACGTGCTGGTTCCGGTGTATCAATTTGGCAAAGGTTCTTGCACACATGTCGCAGGAATAAAGGCCTTCTGGGCGGGAGACGGGAACCTTGTGATGTCTGCGCATGTGCATCTGAAGGGCAATTAAGCTCGTGACGTGGTGCGAGCAAAGGGCGCATTTCCGCTGGAGATCGTCATGAGAAGAGCGCTTGTGTCGGTACATGCCGCGGTACGAGGTGAACCTCTGGTCACAGTGGGGACACGAAACTGGCTTCCGTTTGGGGGGGAGGGGGCGTCTGTATCTGAAAAAAGTGTAAAAAAACTAAATTAGATCAGCTACATATCTGACTTCGAATCATTTGATTCGGTATGCAAATTTTTTAACGGAAAGATTCGGATTCGCCGAATCGGAATATCCCGACGAACCCAATCCGATTCGGCTCGTATGCATATTTTTTCAACGGATAGATTTGGGTTCGGTTCGGATAGATATTTTTCAACCGAAAAATTACAAATTTTTTACTCACCTCTTCGCCTTCTTCACTAAAGCTGTGGAAAAATAAATTTAAAAATTTAGGTGGGTATTTTAACCTCGTTTTTATGCATTATTTTCATAATCCCACTCACCCGCAATATCAGCCTCGGTGAGGTCCGCATGAATTTTCGCCGTTCTCAGGTGACGCTGAAGACTGTAATTCCTTTCAAAGGAGACGTTGGGTTGGCAAATTGTGCACGTAAATTTGGATAAATCTTCGCCCTCAGAATTTACAAGGTTGGAGTCCTGGTCGTCATTTTCAGAAATGTAGTCGTCGTCATAGACTGGCTCGACTTTTATCGCGAATTCTTGCTCGTCTTCAAGGCCTCCAGGTAATTGTAGGTTATCTTCATTGTTCGAAATCTTGACGGGAGGACGGCCGATATTAGCGGCGGCTTGGTAGGAGAGTTCTGTATTAAGCGAATTTAATGGATTGACGTAATTGTAATTAATTAATTAATTAAAATTTAATTTAATATGAGCAATCGAGTAAATTATTATTTAATTTACCACTAATTTTGAAGTCTTCCTCCTCTTCAAGGCATCCTGTCAACATTTGGTCGTTCGCAATACTGTCCGCAGCAATTTTAAAGGCAGCTAGTGAATATTTTAAAATTAGAGTACTTCAAAATTTAAAGTAAATATGTAAATTAAATCGTATTAAATTAAATTGTGCATAAAATTATATTTTAATTTGACACGAGTCAATTAGTCGCATAGATAATTTTTGGAAAACATTTAGTTAACCGTCGGTCTCCGATAGGGTTAAGTGATACGTCATTTTGTTCAGTTCGACGAGCTGAACAAGAATATCGAAACTCGAATGCGCGGAAACGCTCCGTTCAAAAGTTATGGCGGGTCAAAGTTTGAAATTTTTATTGCATTTTTGGACGTTTCAGAGAATTCTACGACTTTGTCTCACTTTGCCCCAAAGCGGGAAATTTTTTGGGGTATATTGAGATTTTGGGGTAAGGTGAGATTTTTAGTTTTTATTCCAGAATATTGAATTACAATCATTTTACGGCACGGCGGGAGGGGTTTCGGGGTACTTTGAGACTTTTGGGGTCATTTCCTATCCAATTCCCCAATTCTAGGCAGCACGTCTAGGTAGCACTTCTACATAACTATCCCAGGTAGCACTTCTAGGTAGCTCTTCTAGGTAGCACTTCTAGGTAGCTCTTCTAGGTAGCTCTTCTAGGTAGCACTTTTATGTAGCTCTTCTAGGTAGCACTTCTAGGTAGCTCTTCTAGGTAGCACTTCTAGGTAGCTCTTCTAGGTAGCTCTTCTAGGTAGCTCTTCTAGGTAGCACTTCTAGGTAGCACTGCTAGGTAGCTCTTCTAGGTAGCATTTCTAGGTAGCTCTTCTAGGTAGCTCTTCTAGGTAGCACTTTTATGTAGCTCTTCCAGGTAGCACTGCTAGGTAGCTCTTCTAGGTAGCACTTCTAGGTAGCTCTTCTAGGTAGCTCTTCTAGGTAGCTCTTCTAGGTAGCACTTCTAGGTAGCACTGCTAGGTAGCTCTTCTAGGTAGCACTTCTAGGTAGCTCTTCTAGGTAGCTCTTCTAGGTAGCTCTTCTAGGTAGCATTTCTAGGTAGCTCTTCTAGGTAGCACTGCTAGGTAGCTCTTCTAGGTAGCATTTCTAGGTAGCTCTTCTAGGTAGCACTGCTAGGTAGCTCTTCTAGGTAGCACTTTTATGTAGCTCTTCTAGGTAGCACTTCTAGGTTGCACTTCTAGGTAGCACTGCTAGGTAGCACTTCTAGGTAGCTCTTCTAGGATTTGATGCATTTTACATTTAATAAATAACATCCAAATACCACCTTACCCCAAAATCTCAATATACCCCAAAAAATTTCCCGCTTTGGGGCAAAGTGAGACAAAGTCGTAGAATTCTCTGAAACGTCCAAAAATGCAATAAAAATTCAAACTTTGTCCCGCCATAACTTTTGAACGGGACATTTCCGCGCCTTCTGGCTTCGATATTCTTGTTCAGCTCGCCGAGACGAACAAAATGACGTATCACTTAACCCTATCGGAGACCGACGGTTAACTAAAGTCTAGCCTAATTTTTTACCGGTAATTTTTGCAGGTTCATTTCGCCCTTTATTGAACAGTCCGTTCCTGCTGGAGATGACGGCACGGAGAGAAATGGTAATATTTTCAATCTGCGTGGACAACTTGGCCAAGGAGAGGATCGCGGAGGAGCAAATTTTGCAACAAAATATGGCAGGATGATGGTCAGTTTGAAAAATGAGAGAAATTTGCTCCTGATTTAGGACGAATTTGGCAAGAATTTCCATTTCCTGGACGGCGAGAGGGCGCAGATTCGTCGATTCGGTGCAGATTGAACAGGAAGACGTTAATAATTCTGGGGGTGAATTATCTTCCTCAGTTTTCAGGGGAAAGTTGTCATCTTGTCGTGAGGGGTCAAAATTTGACCTGTGGATAAGGACCGTGGAGGAAAGTAAATCTTGCAAAATATGTCCTCTCCCTTTTTTCTGGGATTTCAAAAGCTCGTCTTCTTTCGACATTTTACCCGTAAAAAAGAATAACGGCCTTTAAAATTTTCAATATGAAATAGAAATTATCACCGGTAAAATTTATTATCGTTTAAATTTCTCCAATTTACACACCTGAGTGAGATTAAATAAGATAAGTGAAAATAAATTAACTATTCCAATTGACCAAATTTTAATTGACAGAAGGAGTAAAATGAGTTTAAATTAAATTAAATTCCACCGACTTTTGCGTAAATTTATTTTGCTTTTGTCAGCTGCTGATTTGCTCGTGTTTTTGTCCGAGGGCCGCCTGCCTGAAAACGGGGAATCTGACAAAGGAGTGAATCGTGATGTCGTGTTTTTCTACTTTGTCTTCTCGCATTTTTTTCATGAGTATGAAAATTTGGAATGAAAATGCATGTGACGAGTACATAAAAACACAAATTTGCGAGATATTCTTATATTTTTTCCAATATTATATTTATTTTTTTCTGAGTTAACATTCTGTTCAGTCAGTGACGAAGCTAATTGTCTCACATACAGATTTATGTACATGTATTCACTTTTTTAAAACATCATTTTCCATTTTTAAAAAAAGGAACAGTATTTTCAATTTTTAAGCATACCTAAGCTAAGAATGGCAAGTTCTCGCTCATGATTTTCAATCAATCTGCGCAGCGATGATTATTTACCAGCATTTTGAAAGTGAATCGTCTTTCGCAAATGGCGCATGCGTAAGTGGTTTCGGGATGGACGCGGAGGCGATGTTCCATCTGCAGAAGATTGTTGCGAAACATGGCTGGACAATATTGGCAAATGCGCTCCAATTCTGCACTCTGAAAACAAAATTTAAAAAAAAATCACCAATGAAAATCTTATCTTGGATAAAAAGTTAATTAAAATTTCAGATTTTTAACCCTTTTTGCGAAGTCACTAATTCGAAATCAAAATTAGCACTGATTTCTCGCCTGTAGGAATTTAGGCTAAAATTTTGAACGACAAATTTGTGGAGCAGGCCGGTGCCAATATTTTTGAAAGTATATTCAGATTTTGACACTTTTTGAATAAGCAGATTTCAAAAAAACCTTCAGAAACTTGTCGAATCTGGCTTAAAAATTCCACTAATCACCTCACCAAGTGCACATTTATCTTTCAGAATTTTAAAATAAATTCCCAGCGAGTAGAAATCATTAAAAGTGTGTTGATTTTGCAGATTATTAATGTCAATTTTTTTGTTGTTTACCATTTTTGGTGATTCACACCCCTCCAAATGCGTCACCCATTCAGCCTCCGAACCAATCTCGGTTTCACAGCCGTACGGACAGGACGTCTTGTCCCGGAAATGGACCGCTTCCACGTGTCGGTTCTTGATGGTCGGGGTGACAAAGGTTTTCGCACACATTTCGCAGGAATTGCTCTCTTTTTTGAGTGATCCGCTGCTTACGTGGCGTTTGCGCATGTGCCTCTGCAATACATTCGCGTTCGGCAAGATTTTCGAGCAGAGGGGACACTGCTGCTGGACGGGGACCCATTCGTGCGCGAGGCGTTCGTGTCGGCGGGCGCCGAGGGACGAGAAGAAACTCCTGGGGCATTGGGAACATGGAAATTTCTTATGTGTTGGTTGGAAATGGACGACTCTGTACAATAAAAGAATTGAGAAATTTATATTTCATAATATTTCATAATTTGAAACTCGAATATGTATCTCGAAAATTGAGCAAAAAGTAATTTGCGAAATTTGCGTGATTTCGCTAAAATTTTGGTGGAAAACGGTGCACGTTGTTTTCGCAAATTTACCCAGAAATTGGGTACCTATGTTCTTATTTCGCAAAGTCATCCTCGACCTCAAGAACAAGAGAAATTACAGAAATCCATGGAAACAATGGCAAAATATGTAGGTATTTTTCGTAGATTTGCGAGATTTGCAAAATATTGATTCGCAAAATATTTTGACAAATCTCCCAAATTCTAAAAGAAAAACTGGGAGAATGAAAATACACTATAGAAAATCCACTGAAATTTATGCTCACCCTTCTGTCCGGTTTGCCACATCTTTAAAAAGAAATTCACAAAATTAACATATTTTAATTACATTTTTTATCAATTCTGTGGACAAGTATAATCTCACCCGCGTCAGAAACATCGGGATGAATATTCTTGTTCATCATGTGGCGCTTGTAGTTGGTAGAATTGGAAAACGTGGCGATAGGTTGGCATATTTCGCAGGCGAAGTTTGATTTTTGGGAGTCGGCATGGGAATTCGCAATATTGGGGTCGTCCTCACCTTCCGGCATGTCCACTTCGTAGAGAGGATCGGACATGATTTCGTCGTCGACGTCGGCATAGGCCGGCTGAACTTTTAAGGCGAATTCTTCTTCCTCCTCAACGTATTCATTGTTTAATTGTTCTGTAATTAGTCAATTAAATCTTGCTAAATTGAAATATAACTTTACCATTTGACTGAACATTCTTAATTTAATAAGGTATTTACTTACCACTGATTTCGCCCTTTATTGAACAGTCCGTCCCCGATAGAGATGGAGGCGCGTAGAAAAACGGCGATGTTTTCGATCTGCGTGGACAACTTGGCCAAGGAGTGGATCGCGGAGGAGCAAATTTTACAACAAAGAATTGGCGGATGATGGTCAGTTTGTAAAATGAGAGAAATTTGCTCCTGATTTAGGACGAATTTGGCAAGAATTTCGACTTCCTGGAGGGCGAGAGGACGCAGATTTGTCGATGCGGGGCAGATCGAGCAGCAAGACGACCTTGATAATTCTGGGGATGAGTTATCCCCCTCAATTTTCAGGGGAAAGTTGTCATCGTGTCGGGGGTACGTTGCGGGGACAAAATTTGACCCGTTGAGACGGACCGTAGAGGACGGCAAATGTTTCCAAATGGGTCTCGTATATTTTTTCGTAAAGTTGGAAAACCCGTAGTCTTTCGACATTTTACCTGCAAACAAAAAAACAAACGGCCTTTAAAATTTTGTAGTTTTTCAGATGGGAAATTAAAACTTTCAATTTATGCATTATGCGATTACAATTAAATTACACGCACTAACTCTTTTGAATGATTAGCTATTTATTTGAATTGGCTAAACAGCTGCTGATTTGCCGTTTTTGTGACGCGCGTAAACCGGGGAATTTGACAAAGTAGTGAATTGTGTCTAGTGGAACTTCCACTGGTGAAGTTAAGGTGAGCTTGATGAGTCATTCCTGCGCATAATTCCGCCCCATGTTTCGTGTTTCCTTATGAAGAACTTCAAATTAACTTTTCGGCGTTAATATTCAATGAAATTTAAATGATATAACCTCAAAATATTCTATATTTTAAACTTAACACAACTTAACTTAACTATAGATTGGGTTTTAGGAAACAAATTCCCTTCCTGTGAGGGGCAATAAACAGGCTGTGTCACCTATATATGAGATAACTTTGACTTGAGGAAAAGGCTGGATCATCTAAAAAGAAACGACGTACGGTCGCCTCTGTAACAGTGGTAAGCAACGATTGTAACTTCTCGATGGCAATAAACTATTGAGGAAGGAATATGTTTTCCAAACAGTTTTGTTAAGTTAAAAATGTAGAATATTTTAACGTAATAACATTTAAATTCCATTAAATATTAACGCCGAAAAGTTAATTTGAAGTTCTCCATGAGGAAACATGAGACATGGGGCGGAATTAGATGCACGGGAATGACTCAGCAAAGCTCACCTTAAGACTTTTGGTTTGAAAAACAAATGCGTCGCACCTTACGGTGCCTAAAAGTATAATAAATCTTAAATGGTGGTCTCGTCCCAACGTATGCTCACATATTTGGACCAAACTGGTGTCCATTGATCATAAATTTAATTAGAATTACATTTTTAAACGGCAATATCTGTAAAATGCGCAGATTTGGCAGATACATATTTGCATGAAAAGAGGATAAAACACGCCCCAAGGCCGACAAATTTTAAACATCCAAATTTACTGCTCGACCTATCATGTAATGCATAACATCCATTAAAATATTGTTTTACTTATTTTATGAATAAATTATTATTTCAAAAATATTATGTATTATTAATATTAAACAAAAACTGTATTTATTCTTTCATAGTTTCCACAAACTTGAACACGCCCCAAAAAAACTCAAAAATCTATCCTTTCATCCCTATCGTTTTCTTCACACGAAGCCCCCTTGGACTAAAATGCTCCACCACGACGAACGCTTTGTTACCTATCATTTTACGAAATTTTATATTTCCCGCCAGCGCATACTCCACCCCCACGCTTCCCTCCTCGGGGGGATCTACCGCATTGCCCAAAACCTCACAAAGTACGGGCCACTGGGTACTTGGATGGCCGTCAAGTTCCGCGCCCCACTCAATTTCCACTGGAGGATGGTACATCTCGCACACGTGGCTCCGCGGCGCTTTATCAAACACACTTTGAGGACTGATCCGGTCCAGGGTTACCTGTTCAAAAAAACTGTTTTCATTCATCCCGAGCGATTTCTGGGTGAACATTTTCATTCACATTCAGTCATTTTCTTCATTTCAAACGCATTTCATTTCACTTCATCTGACTTCATTTCTTCCTTCCTCCCATGTGTTACGCACAGGGCTTTCTAATTAATTGGTCAATCTAATTAATTATCTAATTAAATAACATGTTTAAACTAATTATTAATTAGTAATTAACCTTAACTAGAACTACTGAAACTAGATAATTTAAACTACTGATTAATTAGAAAATCACCAATTAATTCATCAATATTCTATTTAATTGGCTTCATTAGCAACCTGAGTTTAATCACTAATTAATTAGACGAAATATTTTCCTTCTAATTATCAATTATCAATTAATCAGAAATGTGGTTAATCCAAAGAGCTCTGATTAAGCACAGGGTGATGAATGAAACGAGTGAGAAATCCATTCATTCACAATCATTCATCTGAAATGACTGAATCTTTCACTCATTTTCATTCAAATTCCAGGAAATTCATTTTCATTCGGCATCATTCTTAATCGGATGAATGAAAGTGAACAGGTATGGGTGCAGGGTTACATACCAGCTCGGCGCAGAAATGAGGTGGCCCCTCAGTAAAATTGTGGGCGCCCCGGCCTTGACGAGTATCTCGCAATTTACCACGACCCGCGTCCAGTTCACCCAGATCGAGGGGGTAGAACAGGTCGAAAAAGGGTGCATGGAACACTTTGCAGATCGTGCCCGGTCCCGGGGTGGCGGTGGTGAGGGTTGCCATTGTGTGAGGGAAGGTGGCATTCTTGGTCACGGTGATGTTGGTCTAAATAATGCGAATTAAAAATTGTTAATTACATAATCTGCATTTATTTGTCCTGCCGAGGGGAAAAAGTTTGCGGGTTTTACATACACACATATACTTACCTGTTTACCTTCATTCATTTGACTAATTATGAAAATAAATTTCCCCTCATTTGCATTGTCATTTCAGGGCGAATGAACTTGAATGAAAGAATTGTTCACTCCTTTCATTTTTCAACCAACGCTTAATACATGGGGCGAAATCATAAATGAAATCGGATGAATTTAAATGAATTTGAAAGAATGGAAATATTCAATCAAAAATCTGCATGACTAAAGTTTGAATGAAAACCAAAGTTTTGAACGGGTACGAATGACTGTACAATATTAAATATACTGATTGTACATATGTGGTCGCCTACCTCAAAGAACGTGGCATGTTGCCCCTCCTCATTCACCAACCAATGCACCGCGGACACATTCACGACCCCGTACTGCGGGCGCTCACCTGGGGACCACGCCCGCTTTGCGGGAAATTTATACTTTGCCGTGTGAATCTCTGTATAAACCCAGTCCGTCGTGGAGATAATGCAATCGGGGAAGAGAGGCCCAAAAGTGTCATTTATCCGGACCAGGGCCGCCGTAAATTCGAGGTGCACAGGTCTCCAGCCCATTTCCAGATAGGTCCCCTGCAATCCCGTGACCGGAAGTTGCTCATAATTCGGAGCGTCTTGTCGAATTTCGCGCCAAGGGGCGCAGTTGTAAGTGGTTTTCCGTTCCAACCAAAGCGCACGCCTCCCTTCGGTTCGCAACAAATGGGGCAGAATCAAGAGAAATGTAGAGACTAAGGTGGTGTAAAACATTATTTAGTGTTGTTTTATGTTGTTATTAAAAACTTTGCCTTTAATGTTTTTAACCTTTTTTTGAGCAACTTTTATTTTTACGTGTTACAAAGTTGGGGTCGGGGAAGGGAATGAGCACTCAAATTTGTAAATGCACTTACTAAATAGTTAGTTACCCACAAATGCACTGTTTTTGTTTTTGTCCCTGCGCTTCAAACATTTGGTTTCCCAATTCTAGTCGGGCACATTGTATAGAATTTAGATTTAGATATTGCATGTTTAGGGTTCGGGTGAGAGACTTAAATAAAGGACTAATAATTTTTTTTACTGGCTACAGAAAGACTAAAAATATACAAAGTGGTTGGGTAGCAAGTTAAACTTTTATATATAAATATGTAGGATGAGGAGCTCTTTCTTTAAAACAAAATTTAAGACGTTAAAACGGAGGTGTTAATTTCCAAACCCCACATTTTCACGATTGCAGAGCGGTGAGGGAACGTGTACTAATTTTTATCTGGGGATATTTTAGAATAAGTTCTTTTTGTTTTTGTTGAAGGAAAATATTAAAAATAGTTTATTATTATCAGACAAAAACTTCATTTATTCTACAAAATTTCCATTAAGTGGAAGATCCCAAAATGAAAAAAATCAATGCCTTCCTTATTGTCGTTGCATTAACTCGAAGCCCCCTTATTTGGACGAAAATACTCCACCACGACGAACGGTTTACCATCAATCATTTTACGAAATTTGATATTTCCCGCCCAAGCATACTTCACGCTTCCCTCCGGATCGGGTTTAATGCTCCAAATCTCACAAAGTACTGGTCACGGAGAACTCGAGTTCCTTTCAGATCTAGGATTCGCTGCCCGTTCAACTTCCCGTTGCCCGTCGTACATTGGACACGTCCTTGCTTGCGGGTTTTTGCTAAATACACTTGGAGGTTTTAGGTTGTCCAGAATTTCCAGTTCGACGCAGAAATGTGGGGGTCTCTCGGGAAAGTTGGTCGGCGTCCCAGTCTTGCTGAGAACGTCGCAATTTCCCACGACCACGTCCACTTCCTCCAATCGGAGGCGGGAAGAGGGAAAAGGGGCTGAATGCTTACAACCCTTCGGAGATCGTGCCCACTGCCCGGTATGGGGATGGAGATCGCAATGATGGCCGTGGCGCCACGAAAGGGAGCATCGTGTAAGCTATGTTTGTCTAAAATTTAGTAAAATTATGAAATCAGCAATCAGTAAAATATGAAATTATGAAATGATTTCGAAATATGTTCAACTCACGATGTGTTTTTCGAAATAAAGGTCTTACGGAATCTAAAAATCGGCAAAGTTTAATTTTAAAGTTAAAAAACTAACTGGATAGTTACTTTTTAGTCCTGGTTGAGAGAAAACCGGTGAGAAACATCTGCCTATTGAGACTACTCAATTTTTTTAAACTCCTGGAAACACCATGTTTATCCGATAGAATGGAAAAGAAAATTAGGATGCTATCTTTATATATTTTTAGATACCTTTAATTTTTAGATTTTCTTTTTTGTCCACCTGTACATGTCGAAAACTCGTATCTGTCCTGACGCACCTTGCTACGTTGAAAGCGTCAACTTACCATTCAATGTGTCTTTATGTAGGAGAGATAAATCTGCAGATATGCAAATTTACATAATATTACGCTAAATTTTTTTATGTATTTGTTATTTAAGTAAAACTTCATTTTACTCAAATTATGTAACTTAAATATTTGCATTCGATGAATTAATACCCACGAGCCTATTATCTAGCTATCTATCACAGGGTGCAATCAAGCATTGGCAACATTCAAAATTCACGCAATTACCAATACAAAATTTTCGGATAAATTCTTACTTCCGATATGTTTACTTTACACGCATTTATTTAACTTATTATTATTTTATTATTTATATGCAAAGATATTAATTATTTCAATCATTCTTGCCCGTGTCGCCAACCACGGAACCACACTACATATACTTAAATACAGATATTAGTTGTAATGAAATATATATGTACAATCGATTATTATCAAGTAAATAATTATGTAAGTATGTGGAGTTAATTAATTACATGCACATTAATTACATTAATTAAGATTAAACAAACCTAAAAAACTTCATAAAATTTTATAAAATTAACTACTAACATGGATGAAGTCGATATAAAAAATTTGGGATATTCACGAATAATTATTGTATATAGTATTGATTAATAATTCAACACAAAATACTCTGGCACAAACCACCACACTTTTCAATCATTTAGATTTAATACACCCAAATCACACGCTTCTTACATCCTACTACACACTCTCGCATTCCGAGAATCATCAACACTTATGTTCTCATAAGGGTCCAATCCATCAAATATTTCCCACCTTGGATTTAAATTTGTAAACGTGGTCACAATTCTTTTGTCAGAGCAATCTAACACTTCAGGAACTAAGTTCTCACGAGAATTTGTTGAACACGGGCACTTTTTGAGCAAGTAAAGTGTCCCCATGATCTCGGGAGGTAATGGGACACGAAGATCTACCACTGTAAGGCATCATCCATGCAGGAAATATTTATATAAAACTCCTGCACAAATTCCAAACAATATGTCCTCTCTGAGCCTCTTAGCATTACAAAATATCTCATCTTTCCATAGTTTCGAAATCACTAATTTTTCCAACGTGGGAAATTGCGTGGAATATGGATAATCTGTTCTGGTAAATTTTAAATTTAACACGGGAACTATTACCTCTGGGGTGGCAAAATAGTTCATATAATTTGGGGATATGCAAATTTTGAAAGATTTTAATTTTGGTAAAGTCTCGGGCAGCTGAATTTCTGAAATTCTCTGTAAATCATGACAATTCCGGGTAACGTTACAAACAGAGTTAATTTTTAGTCTTTCAAGTTTATCTGCAAACGTAGCAAGAATTACATCATGATCGGTGGAGTTATTAAAAATATCGACGTTCAACTCTATACAGGTCAGAGAAATGGATGGCCTTAGTATCTTAAGAGTAGTTAATTTGTCTAATCGGAGTGAGATTGCGTAGATCGACATGCGATTTTTTGAGAGAAAATAGTCCACCATTTTTTTCGGAAGGGTTCCACATTGTAAAATTTTAAGGTTCGGGAATAGTGCAACACTTCGAAGGAAAATTCTCTGGTCGGGGATTGAAACTAATTCGCCTCGGTTTGAGAACATCAAGTCGATTTCGAGCTTCACAACTTTGGGAAAGGTGAGAGCATTTGTGGAACTTGTGGTTTCCAAAGATTTCGTTTCATATTGAACGAAAAACTTAGGAAAGAAACGCAGACAAGTTAAATTAGGGCAATTCGTCAATAATGTCAAAATGTGTGAGCAAATAGATACTTGGGGGAAGTAATCCAGCTTTAACTCTGTAATTGCAGCGGAGACGTTAATTGAGAAATTTTGTAAAACTGAGATCTCTTGGAAGTTAAGATTTTCGAAATTAAAACCTGTCAAAGTTACACGTTTGTAGCGCTTGGTTTGGACATTGCTGACGTCCAGGTAGGCGGCCATGTTCTCTGGAGTGAGTATGACGCGTTTTCGAGAAACGATTTGCTCTCTGGCGGCTGCTTCCCATCGGCTGGAAACAAATGTCACTTCGTTGACGAGATGGTTGGTAGGGATGAAGGACATTATCTCGCGTAGAATCTGGAAATTAGATAAAGGAAAGATTTTATTAAATTTGCAAGACCAAAATTGTTTACTTCTAGATATGCTTTTACGGTCTCAGGAATATGTAACTTCGATTTATTGTCTAATTCATCAACTTTCAAATAAATTGTTCTTCAAGCGACAGATTTAATATTTTGCATGAAGTGTAGCACATTATAGTCCTTACATTTCTTTAAATCTGTTTTCGCATTCTCTATATAAAGAGTCCTTAAATTATTTACGATTGTTGCACAGATGTCAAAATTAGGAAATAAATGAACTCAATTTTAAACAAAACTGAAATTAATTAAATAAACAATCCCAACCTCAGGTAACGAGAGGGCCAGGTGGGTAGAAATACGGTCCTTGTGTTGAGCCAAATCCATCTCAGGAAACTTCTGGAGGCATAAATTGGTCATAATAACACTTTATTATTAAAAATTTAAACAGATAATCAGTACCTTGGTTATTTCCTGATGTAAAATCCTAATCCAAGCTGTAGATTTGCTTTGCTCGTCAAAATCAGACTGAAAGACGGAAAGGTTGTTAGAGAACGAATGCGTGTTATTATTTATCCGTATTGATATACACAGCCGGGATATACAGATTTGTGTATTTCAATATTGTGGTGGAACGATGTCAGGGTCAGATATATAGAACCAACATTAGTTCCTTTTCCAAACGATGGTACTTTCATTCAACGTGGAACGAGTTGGAGTTAAGGGACGGATTTTGAAGGTTGGGGAATGTAGATTTAGAAGGGGCAGGAACCCTGCTGAGAAAAAGGTTGAATCCACCTCAATTCCGAAATATTTCACTTACAAAATGTGTACTTATTGTGAGCCTGTTACACATAGCTGTGTTAGCTGGTTTGCTGCATGAATCTGACATATTTTCTAATTTATGAATAATGCGTTCAAAATTGGTACTATTGCTAATGATAATGATAATGCTAATATTGCTAACTATATGATAATGATTATTAATATTTATGCAAACATTGTATTTAGTTAATGTCTATAGTATTTAAATATTATTATACGTATTCGCATATCTAAATAAATATTTGCTGACATAATATTTTCTTGGAATAAGTGTATATGTAAATATGACTTTATGTGTCTTACTTTGATATGCACTATCCAGCGGTTGCTGGTAGGCGATACATATGACGTACATATGAGACTCGCAGTCTGACTTGGGTAAGATCTGCACATTACGCGAGCGAGTTTTGGGAAACGTGGTCTCCTCACAGCTGATGGATTACAGCAACTGATCTTAGTAAATTGATCAACTGAATTTAGTAAATTTATATTATACTTTGGTAAATAAGAAATTTCAATGGTTAATTGACATAATTTTATCCTTAATAAGTACCCCAAAAATACATATATACACTGTTTACCAATTTATTACTCCATTTAGCAATATTTTTCTTGGTATTTACATATATTGAAAGAGTGTCTCGATCTCTTTTTTAATGAAAAGAATTTACATAATATTTAAGAACAAAATGAATTGTCTGTGTACACAACTTTGAACAGAGTTTAGTTTATTGTTACTTCTTAATTCTTTTTCAGGTTCTAAGTCCAATTGTTCCGTACCCTTACACATTGCAACACCTACCCAATTTTGGAAAACGATTTAATTCAGCTCAAACTGGAATGATTTGATTTACTACAGAATTAACTTATTAGCTAAAAAATCAGGGCCACGTAACTACCGTAAAATGGCAGGTAAATCAACAAATTTCTTAACGACGCGTTAAGTTATACATTCATGCAGTAATTGGCAACTTTTAAACTGTTTTATGCAATAATTTTACAAATTTTCGCAAAATAACCCCCTTCACCGGAACAAGTTTACAAAAAATGGGCATAATTTTGCCCAGAAATATTTACAAGTTTTGCAATGACAATTACCAAGTACTACGTGAATTGTCTTAATACACATTCTTAAAAATCACGATAGAGATTTGGTGATACGGTGAAATTTATTACGAAAGTTGTGAAATTATTGATTACTAAATACCTGGGGCCACTCTCAGAGCCCCGCTTAAGCCAAAAAAAATCGACTTAAACATAATCCGATTTTTTTCCGTCCCAGAAAAAAGTTTAAACTTTTTCCATTGTCAAAATCCGCTTAAAATCTAATCTGATCCGAAATTGAGCCGGGGCACTGGACACGGATTGAAATGGTGTCCAGAGAAAAACTTACGACCAAAACTAAGCCAAAAATGCTGCGACTGCTATTTAGTAGTCGTAAGTCCAAATCTCTCTTTTTCTCTCACCTGTTGGCTCACAAGTAAATACTTAGATTTTACTTGGAACTATTTTTTAACATTTTATTTGAGTATGCCATAGCATACTGAACTAAAATTACAAGCTAATTCCTCCGAGTGACGAACAAGTGATTCGTCCTTGAGTCTCCACCGTGCCTAGACTTGCAAATTATTGCGGTCGTGACTCCTTTATATTGGAGTGCCTTTATTCCTACCGAGTGCAATTAGAAGACAAATATATAAAAGAAGGCAAACATTTGAGAGACGAAGTGAACGTGATATAAGGGAACATTATAGTGTGCTAGGGTGGTGCGCCAGCTTGGAGCGCAAGAGAGCCTATCAAACTTTATCATCATCTTGAAGGGACAATAATTACGACGGTCCCTTGTTTCTACAGTCCTACGTTTCTTACTGGTGCATTTTGGAAATACCACAACTATACGCTACAAGGGCAATTTAATAAGCGGTGAAAAAATGAGGCGCACGTTTGTAAGAAAAATTAGTAATTAAGGTATCGATTTTATCATTTTATTTGAGATGTTATCAGTTTTCGAATTCTCATTATTATAACTGGTTTACTAGGACTGATCGCTACAGCTGTTATCGCCACTTCATGAGCACGTGAATCAATTTTAGCTCCTAAATAGCATTCCCGGTGGTATTGATCGACGTGATCCTTCTTTCAAATTTCCGACAGGTTAGAAATTGTGGTCTTGACACAAAATTTGGCCGTGACTCACTCTCTTTTCATTCATTTTTTTACAGATAGACCTCTATTGACCTATCGAGGTGACGAAAGTGTTGATTTATGTTTTCAAGTATGGGCTCTACATACATCAATCATTGGTCACAGGCCACTTCCTATCTATGAGTAACGACTAGATTTATCTAAGTCAGTCCCATGTTTGAGTACATGTTGTTTTGAATGCAAATAAAGAAAGCTTGAGAACTCATTTGTATGATGCAATCGTTAATGAAGAACAATTTGTTATATACTAATATATTCCCTCGCGATAATTGCACCGACATGAAGACGATAATAATATAATTAAATAATTCGCCATGTTCTCAGTCCACCCATGATAAGGCTGCTTCTTCAGCTACTGTAACAATTAATTTCTTATAAAGAACTATCTTCTTTTCACTGGCCCCAATTGAGTACTGCATCTAAACAAATGTGTCACCACCATTAATTATGAGTGAGGACCATTATTTTTTTTTAATCGACTTACTTGTCTAGCAGTGAATGTGAGATTGATCACGGTGGTCACGTTGCAACCTGTGGGGGAGAAACGTGTATATATAATTGTTATTGTTAAAGAGAGAAGGTAAATTATAATTACTTACGTTGACAGAATAAGGTTTGATAGTGGAGATCATTTTTGTTATTGATAATGAATTTGGAATGGGCAGGTCGTTTTAACAAGGAAAAAATGATTTTGGAGCTATGGTCGGGCAGGATTTAGTCTCATGAAAAGTTGACACTGGTTTAAACCAAAAGTTGAGTTGAGCCAATCCAAAAATAATCCGATCAGGGCTCTGGGACGGTCCAAAAAACGGACTTAAACCGCGCTCAAATAAAGATTAGCTTAAGCTGATATTTAAGCCGGGGCTCTGGGAGTGGCCCCTGAAATATTCCAGGTATGCAAAATAAAGATAACATCGCCCCGTCCGAACCTCCGCCACGTGGTGTGCAAGACCCTGCCCGGTGTGTCTCGTGCAGTGCAGATCGCGCCAAATTTATGATAAGCACATCGAAAAACATGGTTCCAATAAAGCAACAGAAATCTCCTGTCCAGTGTGCAAAACTGTATTTAAAAAGAAGAAATATTTGGACGTGCATAACGTTCAAAATTAAGAATTAAAAAAAAAATTAAAAATGATTAAAAATTTGGACAATTTTAATTAAAATTTATCGAGTAATGCATTTAGTTAATCAATTTTTTTATTTATTTAAAAGAAACACATTCAGAAATCAACCCCCTGGTAAAAGCTTGGACGAAGTGGAAAATGGACGTAAAACACTGACCGAGTAAGTCATTACGAATATTTAATTGATCAGAAATAAATATAGATTAACTTTTGTGGCTAATTTACATAATTGCCAATTTATTATCCATCCATCAGGCCTGATCCAGATGACGATGACGTCTGTCCAGTGGCCACGTGTCGACGGAGTTTCAAAACCATTCGTAAATCTCGGAATGCGCACATTTTAGGAGTGCACGCCACGTGGGATGGAAAATGCGTCATCTGTGGAGAAAATCCGGACGACATTATTGCCCACATGAAAGCAGAGCATGGTCCACGGGACAATAAGTTTTATGAGGAAAATCTCGTCCGAGTTAAGACGGAAGTTATCCTGGAGGATGTTAAAAATCAAAGAAGAAGTCGTTTCAGAGAGGGAGTTGGGTTTCCTGAAAAATGAAATTGCTGAAAATCCCGTCCCAATTAAGGAAGAAGGTGGCGAGTTGGAATCACGAGTAAAAATTAAACAAGAAATCGGCTTGAAAAGTGAAATTCCTGTCGACAAAATTAAGCAAGAAGCCTGCTTGGATTTAATAAATGTGAAACGTGAACCTGACCAAGAACTGGATTGTAATGTAAATACCGTAAAACCTCTATTTATAGCCGGGGCTAAAATCCAAAACTGAGGGTCACGGACCAGGCTAAAATTACAGACCGGCTATAATTAGAGACCCGGCTAAATTTTGTTGCTCCAAAAATTTTAGATGTTACAAAATCAAATATAATTCATGTTGACTCAATTTGAGTTCTCTAATTTAGCAAGATAAGCCATAAATAACCCATTAACTTTTAATCTACATCTTGAAACAAAGTTTAGGAGGTTTTTTTAATTTTCTGTCATGATTATATCCATTATTAACCTGAAATTAATAGGAAAAAATTAGTAGTTCAACTTATTCGTTGATTGGCATAATGTGCATCATTTTTCTTTAATGGACTATGAACAGGGACACAGCGGACAAGACAGGTCATAATTGGAGACCCGGCCATAATTGGGGTGTTAAAAGTGAGACCAATTTCTACCCGAAAGAGGCCACTTTACTGGGGTTTTGAAAATGATGCCCTATTCGCCTTGAACAAAGTCACTTTCCTGGTGTTCAGGCCGGTGCGTAATTAAATGAAATCAGTCCCTGCGGGGTAGCAAAGTCACGAGAAAAACCCAAATGACCACGGATCAACACTAAGTCACTCAACAGTGATACTCTTTAAAATATTTATTAATTACAATCAAAAACTTGACGATACATAAATGATTAACGGATCTCGCTTGCTCACGGCACAAAAAGGATAGATCGTGAATGTGGAAGGTGAGAAGAGAGAGAGCGTACTAAAAACTAACAGACAAAGAAAACATACTACGCAGTTTCCTCAAAACTGCCTCCAAAACTAACTTACACGCTAGAGGGCAGCTACATACTAGAAACAAAGATAAAACTCACTAACTCATGAATTTCTTCATCCTCCCACCAATTTTCTCGGAAAATTACTAAACTTATATGTACTCGAGTTACCACTATAAATATTAAACTTAAATGAAGAACTAATATTATACACTTAGCACTTTCACTTTTGTCCAAGTCGATCTGGGGTCACGATTTTCCTTCCGAATCGGGACACCACCTCTAGCTTCGCTGGTACATTCTTGACTGTTACCACAGGGGATTGCTTCGCCGCTAGGGTTTTCTTCATTTTCTTCGGTTTTGCCGATACAAATGCAAGAGATTCCACCTGAGACGAGACCTCAAGGGGATAGAGCCGCTGACAAGGTCGAGTTAAGAATCCATTTTCAGTTTTCACACGGGCCACCCTGACTTGTCCGTCTTTCCCAGGAAAGAGCTCCACAATTCTTGCCATCGGCCAGAAGATTCTCTTCTGGTTGTCGCAACTCACGAGGACGAGATCTCCTAGGTGAAATTCCTCACATTTCTTTACTTTTCCCCTCTGCACCAACAAGGAGAGGTATTCCTTCCGGAATCTTGACCTTAATTCCTCTCGTAGGGCCGTCAACTCTCGGTATTTCTTGTGGAGTCCATTTGAATTCAGCACCTCCATTTCAGGCAGCTCCACCGTTGTCACATCCTGGAGAAACATTGATGGCGTCAGGGGGATCAAATCTTCTTGATCTTCAGAGACGTGGGTGAGGGGTCTTCCGTTCATCACCCCTTCCGCCTCGCATATGAATGTCTCCAGCTCGTAGTAATTCAGTTTACTATGTCCAAGCATCCGTTTCAGTAAATCTTTGATGCTTCTGATGAGACGCTCCCACCAGCCGCCCCACCACGGCGCGGATGGTGGATTAAAGATCCACTGGATTCTGTGAAGTTGTGTTGTAATTTGAATCTTGTTCCAGTCCAGTGCCTTGAACAAATTCTCGGCCCCTGTGAAGTTGGTACCATTGTCCGTGTAAATCTTGGTTGGTCTTCCTCTCCTTGACACAAAACGATCCAGAGCGAGCAGGAAGATATCTGTACTGAGTTCATGGACTAATTCCAAGTGCACGCAGCGATACACGGCACAGGTGAACAAAACCATCCACGTCTTGGACTGGTTTTTCAGATGAAACGGGCCAGCCAAGTCAATCCCCGTGATCTGAAATGCTTTGGCATCTTTCACCCGATCTTCTGGGAGAGCTGCTGGTTGGACGTTGGGTGCCTTGGAATTGAACCGTTTGCACCTTTGGCATGATCCAATGACTTGTTTGATTACTCTTCGTCCTTGGACAATCCAATATTTCTCCCTCAATTTGCTAAGAAGAAATTGGACTCCAGCGTGATGATGCTTGAGATGTTCTTCAGTTATCAAGAGTTCCACAAGAGGATGCTTGGGTGGCAGCAGGACCGGCATCCGGAATGAGACCGTATCCTCCCTTTGGATCAGCTTGGTCTGTACTCGAAGCACTCCATCCTCGTCTGCTTTCACCCTGATTCCGGAAATAAGTTGCTTCTCATTCCCAAATCCCTCCTCTTGAACAATTTTAAGAAGTTTATTTTCAGCAGCATAAACTTCTTCTTGGGTCAGATCAGACTTGGCTTGATCTTTGGATGTCCGGTAGCATTTTGCAAATTTGACCAGACGGGCAAAGACCCTCACCGTTTTCATGTAGGAAGAAGAATGGGCGATGTACCATAATCTTGAGTCACCTCCGATGGTCATACTGACTGCTGCAGATTTCTTCTTCTCCTTCATGACTTCCTCCATGTTGGGTTCTTCTTCTTCCCACACCCAAAACTCTTCCGGCTGCACAAGCCAACCTGGTCCCTCCCACCACTTTGATTTTAAAAGTTGGCTGGGGGAGCACCCTCTTGAAGGCAAATCAGCCGGGTTCTTTTTGCCAGGGACCCATCTCCAATCTTCCACCTTGGTCAGCGTCAAGATCTCCTTTACGCGATTCCCCACAAAAGTCCCCCACTCATCATTCTTCCGAATCCAAGCCAAGGCGTTTGACGAGTCACAGTGATAATAAGTGGGCACTTCTGTCAACGATAACGCCTCCTTCACAGTTGAGGCGAGACGAGCCGCAATCACACATCCAAGCAGCTCCAGGCGATTCATGCTGGTCTCCTTCAGAGGGCAGACCCTGGACTTAGCTTGAAGGATCCGAATCTTGACCCCGTTTTTCTCCTCCGATCCTGCTGAGTAGGCGTTTTTACTCGCATCAGAGAAAGTGTGAAGTTGGAGGTTTGCACCGATTTCTCCAAATGCATGGCGTGGAATTGACACTTTCTCCAATTCATCCACTTCCCTCCACCATGTCACAAAATCCTCCCGCAACTCCCCACTTAAATCTTCATCCCAAGTGGATTTGGATTCCCATGCCTTTTGAATGAGGAGCTTAGGGATGAGTGTAGCTGGACTCAGAAATCCCAACGGATCAAAAATCTTGTGTACCACCGATAGGATGTTCCTCTTAGTCAATTTCGGTGGTAGTGGATCTTGTGGTATCTCAATCTTCAGAGAATCCTGATTCTTGTCCCAAATGATCCCAAGAACTCCAGTCAGTGGTTGAGCAGCACCTCCAACAGCGCCCAATTCGCAGTCGCCTGATGGCAACCCGACTCCGGAACCCTGCCCAGCGCTACACTCCCACTGACGAAGTTCCATCTTCGCATCCGCAAGTATCTGGACGGACTTCTCCTTAAATTCTTGATACTCGTCCACAGAATCCACCGACAAGACGCAATTGTCAACATAAAGAGATCGCAGCAACTCCCTTGCTATTGGTTGGAGTTCCGGATCCACATTCTCCAAGTGGAATTTGAGAACAGCCCCCAGAAGAAATGGGCTACAACTGACACCAAAGACCACTCTGGCGTGGCGGTAAATTTTCAAATTTTTTATATCCTGTCCCTCCCACCACAGGAACCGTAAGAAGTCGCGTTCCTGTTCCTTGACCTCGATCATCAGGAAGGCTTTCCGGATGTCTGCAATGACGCCAATCTTGTTCTCCCTGAATCTGAGTAGAATAGCTGGAATCAGTTCCAGAAGATTGGGCCCCTTTTCTAGACATTCGTTGAGGGATGGATTCCGATTCACCTTACAAGACGCGTCAAAAACGGGTCTCACTGGGGTGGTCTTGCTGTTTGGCTTAAAGACTGGTCTGTGGGGAAGGTAGTGCACGTTGTCACAGATCACATCACTATTCACTTCCTCAATTATGCCTTCTCGGCACCAGTCTTTGAAAATTTCTTCGTATTCTTCAAATTTTCCTGCTGACCTCAACTTGGCGGTGGCGGAAATGAGCCTCTTCTGTGCAACATTTTTGTTGTCCGGAATGGATGGCGCACCCTCCACCCACGGAAGAGAGACTTGGTAACGCCCCATCCTCATTTCGGGAAACTGTTTTCAAAAAATGTTGTTGAGTGGCGATTTCCTTTTCTTCTTTTGATTTGGGCACAATCCTGAATCCCAATCGATTCCAATGACCACATGTCTGGGATGTTCAGGTCACCGGTCAGAAGGGAAGTGCAAGTCATTGCCACACTGTCTTCTTTTGCTTTGGACCCGGGCACAGCTCCACTTAAGGTCCACCCAAAAACGGTGTGAACAGCCACCAAACCACAACTCAACACAATTGGTCCTCCGGTGACAAGATGCCCCCAATTGTCACTTCCAACCAGGATCTCTACATCCGGATTATCCACCGCTGTTTGCTCAAGATCAGATATCCATATCTTCTTCTGCTGGAGTTCCCTTATCCATGGACCTCTTGGGACTCGCGGAATGTCACCACAAATAGTAGGAGTTTCCCTCAAAATCAGTCCCTTTCCACTTTCCCATTCATGCTTTGAATTCTGACTTTGAACTTTTTCACTTTCTTGCAGTCAGTCACTGAACCACCAAACAGAACGTTGCGTGAAAACTCCTCTCCCACCAACTTGCACCCAATCTTGGAGATGGTGGTGGAGCCGGCGTTACTCTGCTGACTTCCCTCGTCAAAGATCAATCTGACCACCGTCGACCTCTTTGGACCCAACGCTCTCACCAGCAGCGTCTTCAGCAACACGTCTTTCCTGCATGAGTAGTTAGCCCCCGAGTTGGTGGTCTCCGCCCCGTCTTCTGTTTGTAATGGAGGTTTCTTATTTTCTTGCTGATCTGGACACATCATCTTTACATGAGCGCCCCCACACAAATCACACTTTTGTTGATAACGGCAGTCCTTTGCTTGGTGCTTGGGCTTGATGCATTTGTAGCATAGACTTTTTTGCTTGACAATTTTCTTCTTCTGCTCCAGTGTCATCCTTTCACCCTTGAAACACTCACTACCGGTGTGATTGGTCTTGTCACAAAACGGACACTGCTTGTCCGATTGACCACTGATAAGACCAGCAGCAGTTGGAAAATCATCTTCCACTACTTTCTTCTCACGCTGCTGGCTCTTCTTTTCTGATTTCTTCTCTTCAGTTCGGGGTGGAGTCATCAAGATAGCAATCTTGGTCTGGATCTTGACCCACTCTGTGAAGCTGACCAGAGATGCAACTTTGCCTGACTCAATCACCTTTCCTTTCCATTGAGCCCTCACAATTGGTGGCAATTTTTCCTCCAAATCAGACAAGAGGATGGGATTTTGAAGGTGGTGGTCTTCACCCAAGGACTTGATGATAGCAGTCAGATTGGTCACTGCTGACCCAAATTCCACCATCGACGCTAGATTTTCATGGGTCACAGAAGGAATTTGTCGAAGTTTCGCTATCATCGCCTTGATGATGTGTTCCTTCTGACCAAACCTTTCTTCCAAAGTTTCCAGAACTTCTGCGAGTCCATCCGGTGAGACCAACATACACTCCACGCTTTTCGCCGCATCCCCTTTCAGGCATTTGCGCAGGCGCTCGATGTTCTCAGCGTCAGAAAATCCGCAAGCCTGGGTCGTTCTTCGGTAGGATGCGATAAATGATGGCCATTCTTCCGCCCGGCCCCCAAAAGTTGGCAGATCTCGTCCAATGGTCTGCCGTATTATCATACGGTCAGTGCTGCTGCCACTACCACTGCTCTTCTCTGCCAGCGTAGTCAGCGCTTTCGCCATCATTTCCAAAACTTGATTGTTGTTATTTGACTCCACTGGTGGTGGTGGTGTTTCAACTGGTGCTGGTGGTGGGGTAAGCACTTTCACTGAACTCGATTCATATTGATTTAACTTTTCATTATCCTCCATCTCCCTGAGCCGCTCATCATCTGACCCAAGTTCTTGCTCTTCATCTTCATCGATGTGGGCAAAGTCTGCCGCCATCACCCTTTTCAATTGAATGATGTCATTCTTCAAACGCTGAATCTTGCCCTTAGTTCTTACTGATTTAAGGGCGTATTCCGTTTTCTTCTCCAACAATCTCTTCATTAATTCTTTTAGATCTAGCTTGAGATCTGTTGCAGCTTCTGGGTCGTATTCTGTTTTTGTGGGGTCGCATTTCTCCTGCATGGATTTAATGGCTGTTTCAAAACTGGCTACCTCCACCCCCACAAACTCCAATTCTTCTTCCAACTCCAAAATCTCGTTTTCTTTATCGATAATTTTCTGACCATGCTCCGCCTCCGCATCTGCCCTTCTTGTGTTCGACGACACTGAAGAAGACGATGGGGACGACTTCTTTCTTCCAAACGGGGTGTAATTGAGCATTTTTCCAAGCAGGGATTGGGACTTGATTTCGGATTTGGGAGTTCCACTTTCTTCGCCCTTCGCGGCCCCTTCCAAGTCTTCTTGCACAACCCTCTCCCCCTTTGACCTCTCATAAGTGGATGGAGTGAACCGGTCCGGTTCTCTCTTTTCACGGTCACTCCTCCTCAAATCGTTTCCGTCCTCGTTCATGATGGCACCGGAAAACAAAAATTCCAAACAAAAAACAAACAAATTAGTCGGTGTTTTCTACAACGGCTGACTGGACCTCGTCTCTCTCTTTTTCAATTCCGCAACGAATTTGCACAAGTTAATTCCACAATGGATGACAAAACAAAACAAAAACGGAAAGATCTCACCAAATTTGCCCCCGAACAGCTCAGGGTCGGGCCCAAAAAATGGCAAGGTTTATGGTGAGTCTTCTTATCACTCGTATTTGACTCCGCGGTCACGTCGCCTCCAATGCTCTGATCTTCCACAAATCACGCCACACGATCCTGGCAAGGTCGCCAAATGTTAAAAGTGAGACCAATTTCTACCCGAAAGAGGCCACTTTACTGGGGTTTTGAAAATGATGCCCTATTCGCCTTGAACAAAGTCACTTTCCTGGTGTTCAGGCCGGTGCGTAATTAAATGAAATCAGTCCCTGCGGGGTAGCAAAGTCACGAGAAAAACCCAAATGACCACGGATCAACACTAAGTCACTCAACAGTGATACTCTTTAAAATATTTATTAATTACAATCAAAAACTTGACGATACATAAATGATTAACGGATCTCGCTTGCTCACGGCACAAAAAGGATAGATCGTGAATGTGGAAGGTGAGAAGAGAGAGAGCGTACTAAAAACTAACAGACAAAGAAAACATACTACGCAGTTTCCTCAAAAATGCCTCCAAAACTAACTTACACGCTAGAGGGCAGCTACATACTAGAAACAAAGATAAAACTCACTAACTCATGAATTTCTTCATGGGGACCCTGCTATAATTGGAGACCCGGCTAAAATTTTGAAATCTTGGTCTCTAGACCCGGCTATATTTGGAGACCGGCTATAATTAGAAGAGGGCTATAAATAGAGGTTTTACGGTACTTAATTTATGAAAAAGTCTAACATTTTAAATAGATTTTGAGCACCATAATAAATTTCGTATGTCTTGATTATAATTTGTATTTATTTTTTGAACCCATAAAATGGTCACAAAATTATGTACAAATATCGATACAAATTTAGTTTTACAAATGATATTCGTATTTTGATTATGCAGGATTAAGTTAATGATTAGATGCGTTTATGGATCAATTTTAACTTTACTTTCATGGCATTATTTTGATTTTTTTTAGATTTATGCTTTTCTCCTATAACCAGAGGATAGTTAATAAGCATGATTTTTTAAAAAACTTGGGCAAGCGTAAATTTAAAATATGTGTCTGATTTGATGCCAATCCTAAGCCTAATAGTGCATGCTTCTCACCGACTTTCTGCAATCCAACACCAAAAAAGTGACGAATGTTTTAGTTTCGCAAAAACGAACATTTTCATGAGTGAACACAGGATAGAGTTTTGCATTGTGAAAATGCATACAAAGTTAAAAACTTCTTATTACTGTATGCAGAGGGGCGATCCATACATTACGTCGTCAAAAATTTTCGATTTTAGCATCCACCCACCCAACGTAAACATTAAGGGATAGGGAATAATTTTAACATGGGCAAGATAAGATAGGCCACCGGAAATCACCCACCCACTAAAATAATGACATTATATATGGACGTTCCCACTTGGGGCATCGAGCTGCACATTACGCGAAATGTGGGAAACGTGCTCTCACAGCTGACGGACGACAATAAATAAATCGGTAAATTTATTTTATGTTTTTTGTAAATTACAAACATATTTAATTCTTAATTTACTACCATTTTATACTTAATAATTACCCCAAAATGTATATATCAAACTGAAGCTTTAGAAAGCTGACACTGAACCACAATTATTATTATTATTATTTATTAATTATATCACAATTTGTGATTCACAAACCACTTCAATAATTTGCCTACTTGAAATTAGTTTAATTTCAATACATTTTTAATCAACCAATTTAATTAATTTATTATTGGATTTTTCTTATTATTTACATATATTAGACTAGTGTTTGATTTATTTATTGCAAAAAAAAATCAGCCAATTTACATTGTGAAGAGCGAGAAGAATTGAGCGTGGAACATAATTTAGTTTGTATTTAATTACGTTTTAATTTGTTTAAGGACCTGAATCCACCGTACCAGTGGAGAATTCACTCGGATAATTATCCAATTTTGGACAGGAAGGATACACTTTAATACGGAATATTTTAATTTATAATTATCAAATCTACGTCTGGATTGATTATTGTTGATGCGATCATACCTTCTACTCCTCTGCGAGGAGAGGGTTGATAGACATCCAGTATAGAGTAAAGTCTCCCGTAAGCTAACACAGGCGGTGGTGGTGGACAGGGCATTCATAAAGGATGGGGCAAAAAACTTGGTTAAGTGGACTAGCTCGGATTTGGCTGAAATTTTTTGTGTAAATACCCTATGGTCCCCTGAGCAAGAAAATACCGTTTTTTCGAGGCGGTGTCGAAAAATACAATTTCTAGAAATTTTCTAAATAAATTATTTTTTGGGTCAGATTTTTCTGTAAATTATATTCTAGACTAATTAAGCTTTGCTGAACAAGAATATGAAAGAATTTTTGACAAAAATTTCGAAAACAAAAACCTATAAGGCCAGCTTTGCTTAGTCCGACCGAACCAGGAATGTTTAAACTCATGTCTGTAAGAATTTCCCCTTTCAATAACAATTTTGAAATTTTAGTGCATAATACCCCACCCACTCATATGACCCCCACTGGTCCAAATCTTTTCTGATCGAACCCATGTTCGAACTCGGTCGTTGCATGTCTGTACCAAATTTGGTAGTAGTGCTAGCTAATAGATCTAGCTAGGATAGTTAGAAACTAGAAATCTCATCTTACTCCGACAATCTAATTTTTCGTCATATATTTTCTTGCCATGGGAAAAAGTGACACATAGTCTTGGAATTCTCTGAACGTCCAAGAATCACGATTAACTGACACGTTTCTTTGGGGTGGTGACCCATACGGTTGCGACAATTGAATTATTTCGAAATAAAATTTTCATTTTTTAAATCGTTGGCTCAAAAATGTCATAACCAACCACCTTGACCCTGAATAACTTTTGAACAGGCAGACATAGAGACTTAATTCTTGAGGAGGAAATCATTCTGATTTTTAGCTTAATTTTTTAAGCTAAAAAAATCTCGAGTGTACTATTTCGATAACTAAAGCGCTTAATTTGAAGTATATCTCTAAAATATAAGTTTTTCAGGAATTTCACAGCCAATTCTTATCTCACAAAATTTTATAATATACCAAAGTGATCGTATGTTCTAGACCGATCGATTGACACCCCACTGGAGGGTATGAGATCACTTGACCCGGATTTGACCTAGGGGGCCATCTCAATCATCCAACTTTTTCAGTGCATAATTTTTATTTACATAATTTCTTCAAAAATGAAAATTTGTGTTGGAAATTCATTTGTCGCAACATGTATAGCACGATTGCTTGACTCTTGGTATCTTAGGACCTTGCATTGTAATACGGTTACGCAGAATGAGGGAGTCAAAAATAAAATAATTATTTTTAAAATCATTGGTGTTAAAGTCCCTTGAAAATACACCAACTACTTTGACCTTTCATAACTTTTGAACGGGCAGACATAAAGACTTAATTCTTAAAGATGAAATCATCGTAATTTTTAGCTTGATTTTTTAAGCTAAAAATCTCGAAGGTCAGTGGCCGCGGAAGAGAATGTGGATTATTATCTTCCGCGTTCAAATCATCTTCAGCGGCCACTGACCTTCGAGATTTTTAGCTTAAAAAATCAAGCTAAAAATTACGATGATTTCATCTTTAAGAATTAAGTCTTTATGTCTGCCCGTTCAAAAGTTATGAAAGGTCAAAGTAGTTGGTGTATTTTCAAGGGACTTTAACACCAATGATTTTAAAAATAATTATTTTATTTTTGACTCGCTCATTCTGCGTAACCGTATTACAATGCAAGTTTCTAAGATACCAAAAGTCAAGCAATCGTGCATGTATAGAATGATAAAGTCGAGGTAAAGTTTGCCGATTTATTGCTAGTGTTTATGTTAACCCACAGAGTTGAAAAAAATCACAGCCTCCTAAATGTATTTGAAGTTTGTTATTTCATCACAATTTTGGTCAGAAACAGTGCGGAACATACCTTTTGAAAATTAATAATAAAACACCCACGTATTAATACAGCGTGCATAGGGGAATGTACATGCCAAATTTCACATTATTTGGGTGAAGTCCAAAATTTCACCATACTGTGTGCACGGCCCATGACGGGTGGCAGACACCCGACTCGAGAGACTTTTTTTTAAATACGATGTCCTCCAACCCATTCTGTGCAGAGCAGAGAAAAGGATTGGACGCGCCAACAAGATTGATTAAACAATCAGAACGGCGTACTACTTCTATAAATGGCAGGTAAATAATCACATTTATTACAAAACCCGTCAAGTTGTAAATTTCAAGAAATTTGGGTACTCATTTTGAAACTCGTAACCTCTCTGGGTTTTGTACCCACCATGGTTTTGCACTTGATCTGAGCAAGTTTTTAAACACATATACATCAAGTAGCTTTCTTCGGAAATTTATGCACTCATAATTTTGTAACGGAATTTTACAAGGTTACAAAGAACTGCGTGGATTGGATTGCCAATAAACATTCCTAAAACATTTGCATTTTTTGTACACAGCTAAAATTAAGATTTGGCCTGATTTGTTGCGAAAATTGCTTACTAAATCCTTGAACTCTTTAAGGTATTCCAAGGCAAACTAAAGATGACGTCGCTGTCCGAACTTCCGTCACGTGGTGTCCACAACGCTGCCCCGTGTGTTTCAAGCAGTGTAAATCCCGCCAAGGTTATCAGAGGCACGTGAGAACACATCGCTCCGATAAGGCAGTCGAAATCTCCTGTCCACTGTGCCAGACCGTGTTTAAAAAGGAAAAATATTTGAAGCGACATAACCTTCAAAACAAGTACGTAATATTTATGCACACTTAAAAATAGTACAAAAAATTTAATTACATAAACAATTTAATTTAATTTAATTTAATTAATTAAATTAAAAATTTAATTACATTTCAACATATTTACACTTACCGATGTGCGGGTCGAGTTGTAAAAGAGTCTGAAGACACGTGCGAAAAGTGTGGGTCAACATTTTCGAACAAGGAGCTACTCCAACATCACAAGATTTTCGAACGTTGCGGAATTCGGTAAAGTTTAGATTTAAAAATCACCACGCTAATCACCTGCTTAGTAATGATACATAAATTAATAAAGATTTTGTTTCTGAAACAGCAAAATACAAATGTTACACTACAGAAGGAAACCCGCTGGTTACAGTTTGCTCGAAGGGGAGGAAAGTGGGGACAAAATCATGGCGGAGTAAGTTATGACAAACAAACCATTGCAAAGGGGTGAAGTGACAAGGTCACGTGGTCATACAACTATGTCGATTTTTGAAATCCCCACCCAAAACTATGTCTAAAACGGTCGAAACACAAAGTTCGACACGTTTACCGTTGGCGCCGTGACCTTATGACCTACAACGTTCATCTTCGAACTTTTAAAATTAGAAACACGTTGGCGAAAACTGCATGTCGAAATTCGAAAGCGGTCTAAAGTTATCGTGGAGACAGACATACAGACGGACAGACAGATAGATAAGACATTTTTACAAAGGGATTTCACCTCGCTTCACCCCTTAACAATCGATTGTTAATAATAATTGTTAATTTAATTGCCGATTTTATCTCAGGTCTTCCCCACATGAGGACAACATCTGTCCGGTGGCCACGTGTCGACGAAGTTTTGAGCCTGGACGTAGAAAAAGTCGGAACTCACACATTTTAGAAGCGCACGCCACCTGGGATGGAAAATGTGTCATGTGTGAGCTAAAGCTGAACTCTCCGGACGACATTATTGGCCACATGAAAGAAGAGCATGGTCCACCGGACAAGTTTTATGAGGAAAATCTTGTCCGAGTTAAGACTGAAGTTATCTTGGAAGATGTTAAAATCAAAGAAGAACCGGACTTGGATTTCCTGAAAAATAATGAAATTTCTGACAATTTTCACGCCCAAAATCCCATTCCCGTTAAGACAGAAGTTGTCCAGGAAGATGTCAAAAGTGGTTGCGAGTTGGGATCACAAGTCAAAATCAAACAAGAAGTCGTGCCCGAGACGGAGCTGGGTTTGTTGGAAAATGAAATTTCTGTCGACAAAATTAAGCAAGAAATTTGCGATGTAAGAAATGTGAAATGTGAACCCGACCAAGTCTTGCATTATAATTTAAGTAATTAATTCATATGTGTAAAATGGTAAACGGACTTGCACCCAATAATAAATTTTGTACCGTTTAATTTTAATCTGAATTTATTTTATGATTGCATAAATGATCATCATAATTGCAAATATCCACACCTACATAAAATCCATCAGAATTTATTACATATGTATATCCAATTAATTGTATATAATTTCAATTAAGATATTTACAACTATACTTACAATTAATTTTATTAAGTTAATTTAACTAATTTATACCAAAGGAATAAGTGCCATTCATACATAACATAATTTGATTATGAAGAATTTTATTAGTTGACATTTTTGATTTTATTGTGACTTACATATATAGGGAAGTGCGCCTAGCGGATGAGACTGGCATAAAAATGTTGATATCTGGGAAAATAGCAGACTGGGTTTACTAAAAATTTACGATGATAAAGTAGTGACCCTACCCTACAATCACCCTAAGCCATAGTTTGCTAGGTTTCGTGTGTGACTTCCACTATCACTTTCTTCCTGAAAACTCAAAAAAAAAATTCTCACCTACCTGGAGCTAGCTTGCTACCACATTCTGTTGAATTCAGTCCATCCATTCAGTATTTCTGATTCAGTAGGATATTAGCTTTCAAAATCTGTCCCTACTTTTTCAATGTGACCACATCGGGGAAAGTTTGGGGCAATTTCCCCTCGGCAAAAAAATCAAAATTTTTTAACTTTTTGGCAATTTTTAGGAATTTTGACTTATTGACAGCGAGTTACGTCCAGCGAGAAAATAATTTTCTGCAGAAGATGATGACCAATGACCATGGATTCCAAAATTCATTTTATCCAGTTTTTCGCGTACGTATTTTGGTCACTGGGGTCATTTATTGTGAAGAATTCAGGGTCATTTATTTTCTGACAAATCCCCGATTTTTTTGGGAAACTTTCTTGTCACTTTTAATTTGAAGCCATATCAGACTTCCTGACCCTTGACTGAAAAGAAAACCGGCCATTTGAAAATTCGGCTAAATTCTATTCTGGTCATCCACATGAGTTTAGTTTCGAGCATATTTTTTGAAAAATTGTATGCAAAGTGTCCACTTTGAATTCAAGCTAAAAAAGTTGCAGGCATTATTTAAAGTAATTCATCATGATTTTTTAAGTCAACATAAGTTTGTCTAAAGATTCAACAACAAATTGTGTTTTTAAATCCGCGTGCGGAGCCACACGGCGTTTTTCGACCAGTCTCATCCGCTAGGCGCAATTCCCTAAATGTGTATACACATACATACATACGCAATTGAAAAATGCAATACTCAACTACACCTACACTCTAAATAATTTAGGGACAAATCGTCACCCGAGGAGGTACTGTAGTGCCCTATAATTGGGTAATAATAAGGAGACATATTTTAACACCGACGGGAAATAAGCAAAAACTCAAGTAACAAACATACATGCATACGTGACGTAGTTTTACATAGATAATTCGAAACTTTGATCGTAAAAAATCTTATGTTCAGATAAAAGTTATCATTTTTTAACAACCACATCAGGCATATTTGCTACACAAAATTTGGCCTCATTTCCATCGGTGGCAAAACGTGCCCTTAATCATTACCCAAAAATATTTATTACCTCCAATGGTGACGATTTGTCCCCAAATTATTTAGATAATCTTTTCTAATATCCAAATCCCACTTAATATGCCATAACTGCATCCACCGCATAGTCCAACATGCTCTTTAGCACCCACATTTTCTTGTCCTTATCCAGAATAAAGAATCGCGTCTCCCCCACCCCCATGTACAATCCGACAGGTCTCAAACTTTTAATATTTCTCGCTAGAATCCTACTTTGCCCCATGTTTCCCATCCTTCTTCTACACTTGGCCAATAAATTGGCGCTCTTTTCATGAACGTACGCCCCATACTCGCAAACCACTACGGCGACATAGACACTGATGAAGAGGCCAAGGAATTCCAGCGGGACCACGATCGGTGGCAAGGTCGGGAGCAGATGGACGATCACGCAAGCGAAGAAGACTGCACTTACGGTGACCATGATTAAGGTGATGGAACTGGCGAGCTGATTGATCTGCGAGGGGATTCCGTAAAGTAGGGCGACATTTCGAAATACTTGGACGTCTTGGTGGCTAACAGTCTAAATAAAAAAAATTAAATTTGCTCAAGGTTGAGTAAAATTTACTCAAGATGCAGTAAAATTTGGTGAAGTATAGCAAATTGTACACAAGGTTCAGTACAATTTGTTCAAAGTGGAGCAAATATTACTCAAAGTTGAGTAAAATTTACTCAAAGTGGAATTAAATTTACCGATGGCTGAGAAAAAATTACTCAAAGGCGAGTAAAATTAACTCAAAGTCGAGTAAAATTAACTCAAGGTCGAGTAAAATATCTTTTCTCAAAGTCGAGTATATAAACTTTACTTGAAACTGAGTAAAATAGAGGAGGGCTCCAGAATTGGGTAAAACTTGTGTATGTGCTTGATCGTTGGGTCACGCACTATTTTAGTTTTAACCATGAGCAAATTTTACTCAAACTTGAGTAAATTATACTCAAGCTTTAGTAAATTTTACGTATTTTTCTTTGTACTAAAATTTTACATTAAGTTCAGCCCTGGTGTCACAAAAGTCGACCAAGTTCCTGAACAGGGGGACACCCGTCATTCCAAGCACTGCGACCAAAATGAATCCGCGAACCACGTCGACCGCTGCGAGGTAGACAATGGCACATCGTAGCATGAGTAGGGTCACGTTGAGCAGCACTGTATTTCCGAACGCCAGCCAGAGTAAGAGATTATATGAGGACGGAAAGGTTCGGAACGTCCAAGAGAGGATGGTATATGTCGGGTCCATATTGAGCAGTGTGCTCCCCAAGATGACAACCGCGTAAACTGGCAGCGCCCAGCGAACTAGTGTGCGCAAAATGTAGTCGAGAAGAGTAGGACGTCGGGCGGCGCGAAGTTGAGCGGGAACGGCTAAAGTTTAAGGTGGGATAATACATAAAATCAGTCATAGATTTGTTACCTCACTCTACCCTGATTTCGTGTTTTTAAATGGATATTTTTAAAATAACCTCAACTTTAGTATTTAGTATTTATTTTGAGTATTTAGATAAATGCAAAATTTTGATAATTTAAGGTAAAGTTTATTATTGCGAAATTTTTCTAATATTTCTATGCCAAATCGGATCGTCATCCAATGCAACCTTAAGTAAAATGTTTGATACGACTTCAAAATATAATTAGCCAAATTTATGGACACAGATAAACCAAACCCTCCCCATTCTGTTAAATCAATGCGAACAAAATCTCACCTTGCCCCAGCTCCTCGACATATTTATCCGTCATATTCACCGAATCCAGCAAACAATCGGCGTGGCGAAAATGGCGTAGACAAAGATGAAAATCGACACCATAGCCAAGCACCAGATCCATCCTCCAATCGTAAACTTTACAAAGGGCGTCACCGGTTCGAGGGACTTGATGGCAAATCCCAGTGCCATCGTTGCAAATAATCCCAGTGACAATGGGACAATAAGGGTAGCCATGTTTTTGGATTTTTCTGCGTGAAACGTCCCATTTTTCAGGACAAGTTTTATTGGTAGGTCGTACTTAAAGACGACATGTTTGGAGTAGAATTTATTAAACAATTTTATCGTAGATTTCTGGAACGCCTTCATTTTTTTAAGGTTTTCGTTCCACGTGCCATGGGCGACTAGAATTGTCTAGTCTGCCCTGATTATAAATTTCCAGGTATATGTAACCTTGGAAGAAATTGATTTTCTTTACAAAAAATCTACATTTTGAGTTAATAATTTTATTTTGGAAAAGACTTGGTTATGTAGACAGACATCCTTTAGTATAAATTTGTATTAATGACCCGAAAATACATGTTTAGTAGTATGACCAAATGGTAATTTTATTCCGTTTAAAATGTAAGTCTACAAATATTTGAATAAATTAGATTAGCTTAATTGATTTAAAATGTAAAACTTCTTAGAATGAAGGCCTCCCCCCGTATGCTTTTCAATATGGATTAAATTATTCTCAATCGATCACAAATTAAATTAGTTCGGCATTTGCTAAAACGAACCCGTCTTTCGGGTGCAAGTAACCAGCTGCAAGAAATACCCGCAAGATATTGGTTTCTTGCAGCTATTTTTACCCGCAAGAAATGCAAAGTGCAAGAAACTCCTACCCGCCGCCATAGTTCTGTAGGCGCGTCGCTAGATGGCGCTGTGTTTCTTGGACTTTCTTGTATTTCTTGCACCTTGCATTTCTTGCGTTTCTTGCTTTACAGTGCAAAAAATGAGAAAAACCCGCAAGAAACGAAACACTGAAAGGAACCAAAAATCTCCAAATGACAGAAATACATATTTGTATCGACAGAGGAGAAAACGCGCCGTAAATTTGGGCAAAACTCGTCGACTTCACGGCCCATTGTGGTTGCAAATATGTGAGTGTGCCAAATTGTGGGGTATTGCATAAATCTCCAGATCATGGGAACATTGTCCTTCTGTCCCCACACTTCCGCGGGCACTAATTGCTAGTGATGGTGAGGGTGTGTTTGCGAAATAAGAACATGTCTAACTTGCTGGGTAAATTCGCAACAAAAATTCTAATGTTTTCCAGGAACAAGTTTTGCAAAATCTCGCTCTGCTTGTTGGCATATGTAGTTGAATTCAAAGGCATCTGTTAATTTCATACTCTCCATCCACGCAGGTTTGAACTTTTGCAGAAATTGAGAATTTGAGAAACTACGGCACTGTCAGTCTTATAAGAATGTTGCTTATGCTGAGGGGGAATTAGAAATTACGTTGCATTTAAGAAACTTACAATGGAGGTCTCCCAACGTATTCTCACCAATTTGGATCAAACTGGTGTCAATTGATCACAAACATAATTAGTATGAAATTTGAAAATGGAACTATCTGCCAATGCGCAGGTTTGGCGGAGATATTTGCATCCAAAGTGGGAAAAATGCGCAGCAAATTTGGAAAATGAAAAATTAGCCAGCCTTGGGGGTGCGTTTTCTCCTCCTTTTATGCAAATATCTCCGCCAAACCTGCGCATTTGCAGATAGTTCCATTTGCAAATTTCATACTAATTATGTTTGTGATCGATTGACACCAGTTTGATCCAAATCTGTGAGCATACGTTGGGAGACCTCCATTGTAAGTAATACTTATTAATTTTAAAAACAAAAAAATATACATAAAAAATTCGAACGTTCCAAAATTGATTAAAAAATGAATCCCATTTAAAAAATTTCATCGCATTTAAATATTAATCGGCGTAAGAATATTGGAGCCGGCACGCCGACTAGATTTTCCTACGGCTGCGACGGCGCGTCAAACCCGATCGGTGGCGCGGCGGCGTTGACCTCTGTTTGTTCCAGGTCATCAATCTAATTCTAAAAAATTGCGTATTTCTGTTATTAGCATTCCTACCTGGCACTGCCTGGCAGAGCTTATCAATTATGAATATTTCTAATTAATTAGCAATTGATAATTAGAAACAAAACAGATATTTTGTATAATTAATTGGTAATTAGTCATTAAACTCAGTTTGCTAATTAATCCAATTAATTAGCTAATTAATTAGAATATTGACCACTTAATTGGTGATTTTTAGTGATTTTCTAATTAACGAGTAACTAAAATTACATTTCCTAGTTAAGGTTAACTAGTAATTAATAATTAGTTTAAACATGCTATTTAATTAAATAATTAATTAGATTGACTAATTAATTAGAAAACCCTGTTACCTGCGTCATGACTATAAAACAAATTTTGTAACTTTGACTTCGACCGGATGCTCAGAAATTGAGTGGTTACGAAACAAGAATTACACAATAAGTTGGCAGGAAACGTTGGCAAGTTTTTATTATTTCATTGTTCAAACGAATTAGGTGAACATTTCCCGTTTTTCCAAATCTTGCTTCATTTCCCTTACACATTTGCAACCATGAGCATCTTCCACGTTTCTATGGTTTCCTTATCCGTACTAATTACGACCTTGGTTCTTCCCGCGGTCCACGTTTCGTCGTCACCAGATTCTCGTGCAGGAACGACGTATAAATTTTGCTTTTCCATGAAGTGAGTGCAAATATATTTAGCACGTAGTGGCCTTTGTTACAAACAGGGTGTTTAAATGTCCCGCTAGATAGGAAAATTTTTCAATTGGAAAAATCGGTAAATTCCCATTAGTTACCCAGATTTTGCCTCTGAAATTCAACATTGTAAAAATTGCTGACCTTAGAGTTGAATAATCAAAAAAATTCCAAATCCTCATAGCTAATGCAAATTAGTGGACTTTTCCCTTTGCAAAATTTGCAATTGTAGCTTGACATTTAAACCACCCTGTATTTAATGCGTCTACCTACCAGACGACATATTTTTTGTAAAATATTCACCACCTAAATAAACCATGTCTCCCTAAATTTTCAGAAACATTCCAAACATCGAGTCAAATCCAAACGCAGGTAAAAAATGGCATCCTCCTCTTGGAAGGGAGTTTCAGATTTTGATGGCACGAATACATGTTTTGATATACGGGATACACACATACATAATAAAATCCACTAGATACGAATCTGGGGCATGATGGCATGCTATTCCGGGTTTTAGGAGCAGCGGGTTTTATAAGGATTTTTGGGTAGCAAATACATATGTACGTGCATTACCAATAGGGTTTTTAAATTCAAATATCTAATGATATAGCATTGCCCAAGATTTTACCAATCAAGAAAATTTTTAAAAGTTTAATTGATATCTGTTTTTTTTGCGAAATTACTGAAATAGCAGACATTGGTCTCAACTGAAAACTTAACGCGTGAGCTAAATGCATATGTACTTATTCAACCTCAGGAGGGGAGCTTGCGAGGTTGATAATAACAGATCCTGATGCCCTTTGGATATGTGGTAGGGTCCCATGAGTGTACTAAAACCCTGAAGTGTTTTGACTCCATGGCCACATTTGCGCCCGCCACACCCACTCAAAAATGCCCAAAAACCGCTTTCACTCCAGTTTTCACTCACTCAAATCCACGCCAAAAATCCAATTTTGCTCGGATTTTGAAATTTCTTTCACCATTACACTCCCAGATAGTTGCTTTCTTCAATTCGATATCAAACTCAATATTTTCGAAATTATTAGTATTTTTAAAATTTAAAATTCTGAATGAGCAATGTTGTAGTAATCAACAACGCAAATTATGCCTGCGAAATAATCATCATCAAAATTGAGATTGACATTGGATTGAAGAAAGCAACTATCTGGGAGTGTAATGGTGAAAGAAATTTCAAAATCCGAGCAAAATTGGATTTTTGGCGTGGATTTGAGTGAGTGAAAACTGGAGTGAAAGCGGTTTTTGGGCATTTTTGAGTGGGTGTGGCGGGCGCAAATGTGGCCATGGAGTCAAACCACTTCAGGGTTTTAGTACACTCATAGGGCCCTACCACATATCCAAAGGGCATCAGGATCTGTTATTATCAACCTCGCAAGCTCCCCTCCTCAGTTCGCCCCATACCTGTGCAAGCGAGTTTTGCTTCACTCATGATCACCTCAAGTCAAACTCCCTTCACTCCCCTCACTCACGGGAACGAAGGCTGAGTGAGGCTTCACTCACTGACAAATCTCATTTGCACTCCTTCACTCCCTCATTCCCCTCACTCATCTATTTCCCTCACTCTTTAATTCAATTCAGTCCTTCGCGTCATCATAATTTAAATATATTGGCGCCATCAAGTGGAGCAACTTGAGACTGGACTGGGCCAAGTTGAGACTGGGCTGGGGCAACGTGAGACTGGGCTGGGGTAATATGAGACGGTACTATGTTAATATTGCCATGCTGATTTCAGTGTGTAAACTAATTATCTACCCTATATTCCTTCACCCTTCTTCCCCCGAGACGAAGGAGTGAAAGAAATGAAGCCTTCATCTCCTTCACCCCTTCACCCTTCATTCCACTTATTTCTCATTTGGGCCTCCCTCACTCACCTTCACTCACTCGATCAAAGTTTTCAACTCCCTCACTCAGCTTCACTGTCCTTAACTCCCTCATCGTGAATTAAGCTTGAATTTGGGTAAATTGAGTGAAGCTGCACAGGTATGGTTCGCCCACATAAACTCAAATACCCTGAAAACTGATAACTTTTATTATGCAAATTCCAATCATGCGAAATTATTGTTATCCATAATTAGAAATTAGACAAATTCTGTTCATGAGATATTGGTATTATGCAAATCAACTGGAGGCCCAAAAAGTCGCATGTAAGCTAATCCCAATCACAGAATGTTGCAGGATCGACTTGAAATACAAGATACACATGCTAATTAATGTTTAATACCTATGATAATTACTTGTGTATTTATTATCCATTACAGAGTTGTACATCATAAGCCGTATGACCAGGAGGCTAAAGATTCGACCCATCCCGACCAATCAGGTGAACGCGGATATTGGCGACATCTGCGAGTACTACATCCACGATTATAACAACGTGCGTGCAAAATAAAGTATTTACGTTAATGGATGCATTGGGAACATCCATATATTACGTCATGATTTTAGTGCAAGCATGGTTTAGGTTTTCCTATGTTTTCCATGTTAAAATTACATACACCTTAATGTATTCCTTGGGTGGGTTGTGCTAAACTCCAAAATTTTTGATTGCGTAATATATGGATGGTCCCTTTAATATTTGAGTAATAATTCAAAACATTCCCAGGATTGGTATGATCTTCAAATGTACGTTATCGGGAGTGACGAGGTAAGAATTGCATTATTGCATATCAAAATATGCATACATCAAAATATACAAATGTACATATTTTAGATTCAAAAATATGTACATACCTGTTCAAGAAATATTTTTTATCATTCAAAAGTCAATCATCCCGAATTCTGCCTGAAGATTTTCACTAATTTTCTTTCAAACTCATTTTATTTCTCTTCACCGGACTTCATTTCTTACTTTGCTATAAGCATAGGGTGAAAAATCATTTCACTCACTCATCTGAAATTACGGTAACATTCCGTCATTTTCATTCAAATGACAAGAAGTTCATTTTAATTTACTGTCATAATCAGCCAAATGAATGAAAGTGAACAGGTACCTGTTCATAAAAAATGCTAATTGAAAAATGATACCAATCCTTCAATTTTAGAATTTTAGGGTTGTTTTTATCAAATTAATTCCGCCTCACTTCATTTCACCCCAATCCTTAATTCGTGCCATGGATTGAGCACATGGTGCAAAATTAAAGGATGGCATAATTCGAATTATTGGACTGGACCTAATAACCAAGCTTATTTTGTGCGGCCAAGATTATATTTTCAAAAAATCGATTCAGACTATTTTTTTTAGAAAATTGAGGACGACTACTTTTTCCGAAAATCAATCAAGATGATTTTTTTCAAACAAACGACCAAGACAAAATATTTTTTTTAGAAAATGGAGTAAATCTATTTTTGCGGCCTCTACCAAGATACTTTTTTTGAGCCCAAGACTATTTCTTCCGACAATCGACCAAAGCTTTCTTTGCGATAAGTGACCAAGTTGATTTCTTACGACCATCGACAATTTTTTAGAAAATTGAGGTATACAATTTTTTTTCTAAAACTGAGGAAAACGATTTTTGCACAAGCCTTTTTGCGACCACAACCAATCTACGTGTAAATGAAGCAGACGAAATGACCTGTTTGTAGATAAAAAAAGTAAAATTACTTAACTAGAATCTTTTGTCAGAGGGATTGACGATGAGATCATTACCCCTTCCCCCTTTCCTTTCTCGGCCCGCCTCACCCCCTGGCCTCACACTTACGCCGTTTTATGCCCTGACATGACCTTGTCTAATTGTTTTGACCTTTATTTTTTCCCATCAACAGTACGTTGGCAGCGTTGAGAAGGTTTCCCCCATGACAGATTTTCCGGAGAGCAGTACCTTCAAGGAATACGGGTTTAAGAACCGTAAAAAGAATTTCACAGGGCTTGACAGGACCGTTAAAAGGGATGGACAACCCACCCTTATCGTCTGGCACTACATGCTAAATGATCGCGTCTAAAATTCAACACATGAGCGGCTCAGGGGCAAAAATTTGAAAACCGTGGTGATCCAGGTGGACCACTATTAATTAGACATTTACATACAATGTAACCTGGTTTCAAGGAATGCTTAGTATGCTTATATTACTGGAGAGTAATATAAAAAAATCAATCCATCACGTAGGGATCACATGGCACTTCATCTTTTTAAAACAATATTTACGGAAAATTTCAATTCTTGAGTGTTTAAATTTTCTATCGCTTTATCCGTTAAACATTAAGGCCAACGTATTTTTATTCAAAAGGCTCATTCAAGGTAAAGCTTAGAGCCATGTGATTCTCAATTTTGGGCTTGATTTTTTGATATAACTCGACATAACTGCCTATGTCCTTTAGACTATCTTGTATCAGAGGAAATTTTATGTTACAATATTTTGAAATTTTCACCTTCCGATGAAATTGTACGGATATATATTTGTAAATTAAACAAATAAACAAATTTAAAAAGGCAAAAATAAAGAGATAATTTAATTGGTTGGGTATTTAATGCCTCCCAGAAATTTTGGAGTCACCTTCATTAGACTTGTACAAATATATGTGTCATTTTAAAGGAAATTTCATCACGAAATCAATAGTCACCACCATGTTCACCTCAAAGGTCATTTAAGGTCACTAAGAGGTCACTAAGAGGTCACAAAACGGTTACGAAATGTTAAACGGGATACATACATATGTACAGCCAGACCCCAAAAGTATCTGTTATAACGAACTCAACAAAATTAAAAAAAAGCAAAAAAATAAATTCAAAACTTGCATCCAACGGACCCTTAAGACTGTTGTGGATGACGCTTTCGCGCGCAATCTCACTCAACCTCTTTAAATGTAATTTCTAGAATGACATCAAGTTCATGAGTGTTGAGATAAATGGGACTGGGATATTTTAATGTAAAGATAATTTTTGGTACTACAAAACCTTGGTGTTTTGAAAAATTAGAAAATTCATTTTTGAAAAAAATAGTGTGCAAAAATAGCAAATATAGTAATTTCGTTAATTTGTGAAACATTAGAAAACTCGTGGCCAATATTGGCCACATATCAGGTTTATTAATTACAAAAACTGTAAGTTGTGTACTCCTTAGCATTCTTACATATCTGCGTCACGACAATAAAACAAGGCTTGGACCGGATGCTCAAAAATTATGTGTGATTGCGTAAAAAAAATTACACAGTTACATATGTGACAGGAAATGAGTCAATTGTTATAGCCCATTGCAAAAAGTAGCCATTGTTTAGCATTTAGCTGTTCATGCTCATTGAAATTTCTTCATTTTGTCATTATTTCATTTCCATGTTCAGAACCTGAAGCACCTCGTCAGTTATCATGGTTTCCTTGCCCGTACTAATTGCGACCTTGGTTCTTCCCGCGATCCTCGCCGTGTCGACGCGTGATCCACCGGCTCATCCAGGCTCTACGTATAAGTTCTGCTTTTCCATGAGGTGAGTGCACACAAATTTATCAAGTCTTTAGGGACCGTCCATAAATTACGTAACGCAAGAGGGGGGAGGGGGGGGGTCGAAAGCTCCAATGCTATCGTGCCTATGTTACACATTTTAAAGGGGGGGGTCTAGAAAATCTCGATTTATGCGTTACGTAATTTATAGACGGCCCCTTAGGGAACTCACATACATTATGTCACGCAAAAACAATATACTTACATGCACTTCAGATCCTTCCTCCTGTTTCGCCACGCACTTACGCCAATTTAACAAGTGGCGCAAGTTGAGCTGAGCTAAGTATTACGGGAAACTTTTACTATCCCATCCCGTCAGGGGCCGTCCATAAATTACGCAGCGCAAAAGTCGGAATTTTCAAGACCCCCCCCCGCCCTTTCCTTTAACGTATGTAGCATATCCACGATATCATGGAAGCCTAAAACCCCCCTATCAGGTTACATAATTCATGGATGCCCTCAGCCATAACATAATTTATGGCCAACCCCTTAGTGGTGGCATTTCTGACAATGCGTCTCACTTTACCAAATATGTATTAGCGATGTTCATAAAATATGTATATTTCCTTAAATTTTCAGGAACATTCCGAAAGACGAGTCAAATCCCAATGCAAGTATGTAAAATGATATCTTCAATGCTTGAGATTTTGAAAACTTGAACATTTCTCGATACCCGAGTAGGAGGAAGATTTGAATTAGTGGGCCAATGGGGCAAAAGGATTTTTATTTGTTTCATCGGTCTCACATTTCTTGCGGTTCAAGACCCTACAAGAAATGTACGGTACACACCCCCACCAAATAAATTATCTATTCCACTTGTTGCTATCTTACAAGAAAAATATGAAATTTCCCGAGCAGCCTCTTTTACCACTCAAAGGCGCAGAAATATATATGGGGGAACTTGAATTTTTTTTTAGCTTTTTACATACATAGATATTGGCGGTCAGTATAATCCTCCATATGTAATTATAACTAATCAAGCTTCTTAAAACCAGTACTAAATAGATCAAGTGATTAGACAGAAATAACGTTTAGTTTTTTAGGACTTGAGAACTTCTAAGGAATTTATGAATATACAAGGAGATTTTAATGTAACAAGTATGTACATAGGTACATACAATTATCATCATGTAAAAAAGTAACCTACCCCTTTCCAATACTCAAAATGTGTGCTTTTCTCAACTTAGAACTTGCATACGTACCTAACTCTGTGAATTCTGCACAAGTGCTCTTGTCCTAAAGTACATAAATGTTTTGTGCACTCAAAACAAAAATTTGTCCAATCAACACCGCCCGAGTCAATATATGACTTAACCGCCTTGGTTACAATGTTGAATCCGAGTTATGAGGATTTTGATACCGGTAGTTATAATGTTACGACCGGACGGAAAAATGTCAGTACCACCCGGAACCACAATTGTAACCAAGGCGGTCAAGTCATATATTGACTCGGGCGGTGTTGATTGGACAAATTTTTGTTTTGAGCGTGTATTTAGTCGCTTGATTTTTTACCGTGGGTGTCAGCAAAATCGATGAGCCACGTGTCTGACATGTGCCTTGTAAATATATGTCCGTTACCCAATTACAGCGCTGTACATAGAGAACTACAAAATGAATATTGGATCCATCCCAAGTAACCAGGTGAACGCGGAAATTGGCTCCATCTACGAGTACTACGTCAACCAGAATGACAACGTTTGTATAAAATACTTAAATTCAACTACTCTATTTTCTAAGAGTTTTGAGAAACGATTCAATCAAAACATTCTTAGGTACCAGACTACAGGCTGGCCATGTTCTTCGCTGGAAGTAAAGTGGTAAGAACGCTAAATATATCAAAGTCACTTGCCTAATAAAACCTACATTTTCACCTGAAATGACAACTTGCCGAAATTCTGTTAAATCGTTGACTAGAGTAAAATTTGTAAGAGGCATAGTTCCAAAAACCTGAACGTTTTCCTAGAAGAATCTAATCCTCCTTGTTTCTCGAGGTTTTTGGGTTTTTTTGGATTTAGTGACGTGTTGCAATCGATTTGAAGAAACACTCCCACTTGGTACATACATACATACATATATATGTTTTGCACTAGAAGAGTAATTTCAGTGAAGCAGTATTTTAAGAACTTCGCGTTTCACGTGAGTACTACTGTTGGTCCATTATTATTGGTCGCAAAAATTTCTGAGAGTTTATCAGGCAGGTAGAATAAATTTTTGTGAACAGAAATTTGTAAATCATCCTCGTTTTTTATTTTACAACAGCTTCGCTATTGTGGCAAATGAAGGAATTATTTACGTATGTATGGCCAAATAACTTCTCAGATAAATTATCGGGCTTTTGCGACTAACAATAAACTGTTACAAACGAAATGCAGCAAAGGGGTGAAAACACACAGAATTGTCTTTGTGGCACGCCCACAACGTCTTTCAGCACATTCCCGTTATTATCCCACATTAACCCACGTCTCTTTTTGCCCCGTTTTGACACCCCCACCCGCGTAGTTCAAACGTACACTACAAGACCTTTCAATAGACACCCTACGTGACAAAAGTCATTTTTTCGAAATTCGACACCTCCCACACGGTAATGGGATCATCGCACGTCGAAATGATGGCGATTTCATAAATCCTTGCCCAAAACTACGTCTAAAACGGTGGAAACAAAAAATTCGACACCTTTGACCTCGTTGGCGTCGTCACCGTGGCGCCGTGACCTTACCACCTACAACGCCCATCTTCGAACTCATCCCGTCCCCAAAAATTAGAAATACATTGGCGAAAACGGGATGTCCAAATTCGAATCCGTTCTAAAGTTATCGTGGACACGGACGGACGGACAGACGGACAGACAAGACATTTCCATAAAGGGAATGGACAACCAGTAGGATTTAAACTGTTTAAAATGGCTCATCTAATTATTCTGACCCTAGCTTTTTCTCTCTTTTAATTAAACAGTATGTCGGAAGCGTAAAAGAATTTTCGCCCTTAAAGGATTTTTCGGACAATGGGACCTTCAAGGAGTACAAGTTTATCAACCGTTTAAAGAACTTTACAGGACCTGACGGGATCGTTACCCGGGACGGGCAACCCACCATTCTCGTCGCGCACTACATTCGGAACAATCGTGTCACAAATTCCACACATGAGCGGCTTCGGGGTAAAAATTTGAAAACCGTATTGATCCACAGGAAGGAACGTTGATTAGGTTTTGAAAATATGGACGAAATCAATTGGTTTGTAGAACTATTTATAAAATATTCAGTTTTGACTATTTCACATCAAAGGATACTTAATGTTACAATACGTATGTATCTACTTGTTCCTCAAATATTGATGAAATTATCTGTAATTGGTTTGCAAAGTTATTATTAATTAATACAATTTTGACTATTTTTATCAAAGGATATGTACATATTTGAGGTAACGATATTAACAATAAATATTTTTTTGATGTGAGCCAAATTTTTTGAATGTTAGTATAAATTTTTGAGCCGTTCGTGTTACACATATTTCGCGATTCATAAAATCATTTTGATGGCGTAAAATAATCCGTAAATAAATAAATGAACTTTTCAAATTAGACACACATCACGTGTAACAACAAAACCAAAATATTCTAAAATTGTTCCAACGTTATGTGGCTTGAAATTCATTTTCATTGACATATTGACAGTCCCGACATGCAAACGTATATTTCAGTTTTCGAATTTTCGCCGCGGTGGCGATTTTAGGCCTTCAACCTGTCCTTGGCGAAAAATTCCTGTCGGCGTCAAAAAAATCGTACACGGTCTGACCAAAGCTCATTTTTCTTCAAAACGCATGTCGTGTCCGATAAAAAATATTAGAAAGTTCAAAAAAAATTACGAAGTAAATCCACGAAGTTTTTTTTCGACGCCTCAAATTTGTTCACAAAAATAATGGTGACCTTTGACATTTGTGCGATATTAAAAATCGACGACTAGGAAATTGTCTGTATATACTTTTGAGATTTTTGTTCGGAGTTTGAAATTTTAAAATTTATGCGATCTTGTCGATATAAAAATTATGTCATCATAGTATTAAATTTGTTACATACTGCACATAATGAGTAAAATGAATAACAGTGAACAGGTATGAATGTACATACCTGTTCACCTAAGAAAATGAGAATTAATTGAAAAATGATAAACATCAGTAGATAAGATAGCGTTGAAAGTCCAAATTACCCGAATTGATCCGTTGATTGCTGACGTCACCAGGACCACTTTCTCCGGGAAAGGGAGCAAGCTGCCGCTGCCGCTGCCGCCACTCTCCACTTACCACCGACCACCGCTGGGGCAGGGGACAATGCCCGGGGCAATGCCAGGGGGCGCGGTCGTCGCCCCCCCCGCATTACATACATGCATTGCATAAATTACATGCATGTATATTGCATACGGCGGATTGCATCACTTTCTCCGGGAGGACCACTCACCACTTACCACTTACCACCGCAGAGGGCGGGGCCGGCAATGCCGGGGGGCAGTCGCCCCCCCCCTCACATGTCCATTGAATGCTTTGCATACATATGCACATTACATACATGGATTGCATGCATAAATTATATGCATATATTACATACGGGTGGATTGCATCATCCACTTTCTCCGGGAGCACCATTTACCATTTTCCCGGTGTGCACAGAGAATACGTATCGAACGCGATATCAATTCGACGGCCGAGTTCGATTCGCTTGCGTGTTTGTCGCCTCGGAACTTACGGTCCGCATGCAAGAAACGAATCTGAGTCGCATGCTAGGAACGGTGGCAGGTCGAATGCGAGACATCGAATTCGTTTAGTACATGGGAAAATGCATGCGTTTCTCATACTGTTTGTTGACTGTGTTGCTAATGCGGTTTTCATTCGGACATAAGTACTCAAATTTTATATTTATTCTTTTTATTTTATTGTATGCAAAAGTGGAATACAAACAACTTTGTCAGATAAATACATTCGAAAATATGTACATACAATATCGCTTGCATTAATAACAATTGTAAACTTATCAGAAAGCTTCTCTACCACAAAAATTCCTAACAAAGAACTATCCATAGGATACTCATCTAGTTTACTACGAATTATATATTTTTGTGCCTCAAATCTTACATTCTCATTTTTGCATTTAGTAAGCAAATTTGTTAAAACTAATATATCTCCTGATTTATGCAAGAAGCAATTGTCACCTATTTTACACGCGTGTTCAAACCATAGTGAATTATTTTTGTCAGGTTCTTTATCTTCCCTTTCCAAACTTTGCATTTCCAAAACTCTTTTTGCAACCTGTTGCAGTTTGAAATTATGCGAATGCAACATGTGTTTGATTTTCTGCATAAAGTTTTCAAAGGGGAAAGTACTTATGCTATCAAGATTCCCGTAATTTACTGCATCGATATTTATGTGTAAGAGATTGTGCACATTGTATATTAGGAACTCGCGTCCATAAAGTGCACAACAATTTTCAACAAATTTACAAAGATAAGATTTTGCTAAACTGTTCCACTCAGGCTCAGAAGCATTAGAAGATAACAATATGAAAATGGCACAGTGAAATAACAAAAAACATTTATATTGCTTTCTATCTATTATCCCTTTTAAAGCAACAACTCCTGTATAAAGCAGAAAAGTTCTAAACTCCGTAGCTTTAAAGTGATCAATTTCAACAAGAGACCTTGGCTTTCTTTGAAAGCTTGAAGGAAAGAATGGTCTGAGTCGAAGTAGACGTTTGGATATTAATAAAACGTCCCTACTTGGTAATCTATGTGGTAGCTTTCCTTTTACCCACATCCTTAGTAATTTTCGGGTTACGCCCAAGCACACCAGGTGCATGTAATCCAGAGGTACCTGACTAACTAAACCAATTGAAATACATTTTAGTATTGTTTCCCCATTATGATGATCCTCATCGATCATTTCTTCAAATGACAAATCAGATCGGGGATTGCAATTTGAATCATGGTAAATTACCCTACCACTCCACGTACCCTCTTCATTACACCGTTCACACCCATGATAAGCATTATGTGCTTTACAATTTTTCAGAAAACTGCGAGCTGGAGCATCAGCAAGAATGGCAGAAATTCGAAAAGAAAATGGCTTCCCAGCAACAATACAATTCTCTTCCAATTCTTTGCATTCTTGCACAAAGGGTTGAAGGAACTGTTGGTCGGTAGGTTTAGAATTTCCATAATACAAAGCAATAACAAATGGAGTTTGGCATTGGCTTTGATCAAGAACTCCTAAAACAGGCCAGAATTGTTTGTTATTGCTTTTGGAGACAGGTATCCCATCCACTCCAATCCTTACGCTAAGCAATGGATGAGGTACCTGGTTCTGAAGCTTAATATGTATTGGGGAGCTAAATTGTGACAATGGACGAAGACCAGCTAGAAAACGATCTGTTACGCCACTCATAATACCAAAATAGACAAAAGACCCACCACTAGCTTGTTGAACATTAACCAATCGAGTTGTTTCCATTAAAGTCTTTGGATCAAGGGGTAAATCGCAAGGAATGTTATGACCATGTATAATTTTTAGTAAATCTCTAAGACAACTGTGGTTTACATTATGCTTTAAAACCCAGCTCCTAATTTCCTGGCCAATAGGGACAATTGTTTCTTGTGACATATCGATATACAATTCGTTTTCGTCTTCTATATTAATATTAGTTTGTGATGAAGCTAGACCTGAATTTAAATGATTTACATTTTTATCTAAACAATCTGTATGAGAATAACAATTAATATTCCGTGTATTAGTATTTGTACTTTTAAAACTATTCGCGCTCGGGGCACCTCGCATTTTTTCTAACAACCTCTTCAGTTGTTCTCGTCGTTTTCGTTGTTGGGAACGGAGAGACTTCGCGACGCGCCCAGACATCTTGTTTCCGCCCTCGAGTCGCTTTTATTTTTGACCCATTTCTTAATTGCAGCTTCCGCCTTTGCAGTTGTAAATTGCTCACCACCACTAGTTGCCCGAACACTACCTAAATAGTTAATAAATTATTTCATTATTACTGACCGTAACATTATTTATATTATCCTCATTAGTTTTTTATAAAATAGAAGGTAACTGCCTGCTTACTATTGATCAAATCTATAAGCCCGGAATCACGAAAACCACGCAAGACCCCTTTTCCCACCCCCGTTAAAGTTATAATTTTGGCAATATTCTTAGCAAACAGATAATCCAAAACGCGTTTGCTTATCTCCTCGGAGTTTGCTCCGCCCAAAATCCTTAGTTTCGCAACCTAGTTAACCGTTCAAAAATATTAAATAAATTTTTCAGCCCGTATCACCAAATAATTTTCCGTGTGACATATCATGTGCCGCAAGTTCAAACAGCTTACCAACTTTATTTTGTTCTCTCGAGTTTTTATCCACTCTGACAACTTGTCAAAATTCTCAATAGTAGTCACAGGGAGAGTTGGGTGGTCGCATGCTATCTCCTCAACTATGCCACCTACGAGGTTCGACCGCCGCAGCAATTCCTCCAAATTCCCGTTAATTTTTACGAGGTTTTCCGCCACTGTCAATTGTAAATCTGTAAAAGGAGAAATTACAAATGGTATTTGCAAATTTGATGAGGCACAATTTTAACACTCATGTTTACTTTTAAGCTCTGTTTTTATGTTTTCAAGTTCTTGAAGGGGGACGACAACATAATTCGAAACATCATCAACTACTTCTATTTGTCGCTCACTCGATCCACCCTCCTGGCCATTAATCTAAACGTTGTCGTCGTCTGGTGCAGTATCTGTATTTGACGGAATCTCGGATTCTAATCGAAAGCAAAATTAACAGTGTGTTATTATATTACATGCATACTAATACTTGAAAAAATGCACTTAGAATTGATAAAATTATGGCATAATGCTCACCACCTAAATTTAAAAAGTTGGTCGTAGGGACGTTTTCTTCCTCGTTCGATGAGAGACTGTCCGATTCCTGGTCGGCAGAAAACGATGCTGGCTTTTTAACTTGAATCTTCTTACGACGGGGTTTTGTCTTGGAAAAGTGGGGGCTCTCGGGCGCTGACGAGTCGACCTCCGACTGAAATTGAGCCTTGTCACGGTAGCGGTTAGCTTCTTCTAAAGAGTCTATAAAAAACAAAGAATTTCTTAATTAAATTATTAAAATTTAATTACTTTGAATCGTTAAATGAATGTTTACAAAATTTCTACAAAAATTTTATTTAGTTTAAATTACCTGCAAATTTTATATGTTTACAAGGATACTTTGGCCAGGCTTTTTCAGGCGGTGCAAAAGTCTTTAATTTGTCGGCAGCACAGGGTCCAGAAGGCCAAGCGCAGTATTTCAAGCGTGCATCCAGCCAAGAAGTCAAAACCGTTGCTACTTTTTTCTCTTTATAAAAATTCACAACTGAAAATTTTGCACTTGCCATTGTGGATAAGATGGAGGCAGATGAGTGAATGAAAGAGCGAGCCGCATGGAGTGGATCAAGTTTCCCTCTAATTCTTTATAAAAATGCTATTCGTATTCGGAATGAATGAGAAAAAATGAGGTGCGATTTTGATGCGTTAATCAGTGTATGATATGAATTCGATCGTGAGGAGAAAGTCCACGGGATCCAAAACACTCCTATATCGTATTCTATCCGCATTCGATATGACGCCAACGATCGTATTCGTTTTCAGGTTCTTTATTTGCATGCTAAACGAATGCGCTTATAATACGATAAATCGAATCGAATCGAATCGAACGTATATCGAATTAACGCAATGCGAAGAGCATTCGATACGCAATCTTGTGCATACCGGGTTACCACTTACCACTGCAGAGGGCGCGGCAGGGGGCGCGACACGGCAATGCCGGAAGGCGCGGCACGGCAATGCCGGGGGGCGCGGCGCGGCTGGCGCCAGGTTTGCATTTTAGCATTATGCAATGTAGTTTTGCATACATTTTTTTGTGTGTAAAAATTTGCATGCATTTTCCCATGGGGGAAATAGAGTGGGGTCGCCTGCTAGGGGGTGGTGGATGCAAAAAGGAACACCATCCACCACGGGCGGCTCGGGGGGGACCCGCCGCCCCCCTAAGGGGTTCGGCTATCGGTTATTTCACATATGCATATGCAATTTTTTGCATAATTTCCCAGGTGCACAGACAAACTGACGGCACCCACTTCGTGGATTGCATCACTCACTTTGCCCGGGTAATGAGAGAGAATACTCATCTATCATGCACCACTCACCACCTATTCACCAGTCACCACCCAGCATTAACCTGTTTACGAAGTTGACGTGAATATTCCAATGTATTTTTGTTTTATTTTTGCCGGGTTCCACCGAAAATACCTTGCTTTTGTACAGAATTTTACTTTTAAAATATATTTAAATAAATATATATTTAAATATAACTCAATGCAGATGTCAATTTGTGCGTAATTAATCCATTTTCCATAAAAAGCTGCCCAACAATCCAAACCGATATTTTACTACAGTAGAAAATAAGGCTGAGGAATCATAGATAAATAATTGAGTTAGTCTTTTAACAAAATTTTAATTCTGATTTTTTAATCATTCAATGTTAGTCATTTAAAAAAATACGTAAATTACGTCAATCTTGACGATTAAGATTTTGGGGCGTTAAATGTATATGAAATTACGTACAAATTCCTGTTTTTACTCTGTTCCTTCATAAATATGAGTTAAATATTTTGTCGAATTTTTCAAAAAATATATAAAAGTCTGTAAATGTTTCAACGATTTTCAAATACGTTGTGTTTTCTGGTTGAAGTACGCATTAATTGAATATTAGCATCAAATTTGTTAATAAATAATAATTTTGAAAAAAATATGCTAAAATAAATTATTCTCGTTTTATAGTTATCCAACATCTGATGTAACGGCCACAATGCTAACGCGTTGAGGCTGAATTTCGTAAATTTGAATTTATGTAACTTAAATTCTGCAACCAAATGGACTGTAGCACAAAGAACTTTAAATCTTTTAAAAGTCAAATTGCATCCAAGATTATGCCATTTTTATAAAAGAAATACTGAATTATTTAGACAAAAGCATCCAAAATCAAGCAATGTTTGAAAAACAAACAAGTAGAAATATATTTTTAAAGTAAAATTCAATCCTAAAGCAAGCCACTTTCGTGGGAAAAAGTAACTAGAAATCTTGTTTAATACGGCCAACCAGATAAATGTTTGTTTCTCCGTTTTAGCGAGGAAAATATCGTCCGAAGATGAGAAAACTCGCCTTAAAATCGACAAATTTTACACTTTTAAAATTGACCGTACATTTTCTCCTCTTCGGATGAAATTTTCCTAAAACGCAGAAACAAACATTTATCTGAACGGCCTTTTCAAACAAGAGATCAAGTTGTTTTTCTATTTTAGATGATACTTTCCTTAAAAAATTGCAGTATTTTTTTAACGAAAATCGCGTAATTATGAATGAAATTTTACTTTAAAAAAATATTTCCAGTTACTTTTTCTATAAAATAGCCCATTTGATTGCAGAATTTAAGTTATCAATGCGGTCGAGATTTCAGGGATAAGGTCAAAATTGAATTGGTCGCCCCAGCAGGTATGCAAAAATAAAATAAAAAATGCGTTGGGAGTATTCACGTCAACTTCGCAAATAAATATTTAGCGTAAATTTACGCCATTTACGAAAAGCCACCGTCTTACCATGGAATTTTCCTACATGGCATACATTACTAAATACGTTTTTTAAATATGCTGCCTTCGGCGTTTACCACAGTTACGAAGGTGACGCAAAAAGCTTTTGTTTTCATGAATCCACAGCTAAATAACGAAGTAATACATATAACCAACGAAGTTATAGGTAAAATTAGTTACAAATTTCAAAATTCCCCAAAGACAAAACCGTAAGTTAATCAAATATATTTATTTCACATGATTTTTTCCGACTTTGAAATGATAAACTTAAAAGTAATTTAAATTCTGCTACAAAATGGGCAATTTTTGTAGAAAAAAAATAACTGGAAAATTTTTTGTAAATTAATCTCATTGAGACCATAATTCTTAACAAAAAATTCTCTTGAGTCCGATTTTAAATTCATAACTACATTTGGTAACGACCAATTAAATTTTCATGATTTCATATAAAAGACCAATATTTATTTCAACCAGTTTGCAAGTTTTGAGTTTTTGCCGAAAATCACGAAAAATCCACTTTTTAACATTGGTCGGTATAGGGAAAATTCCAAAATTTGTTAAGAAAAATATCCCAAAAAGTCAGGTTTTTATCATTGAGTTTTACGCAAAATACCAAAGAAACACTCGAATTTTGAGAAAATTTGAGAAATCTGCATTTTAAAAAAATACGATACATGACGTATTTGGTCCTCAAGGGACAGTCGTCATGGTGCGCCATTTGAATTTGGTCTAAAAGAGGTTAAAACTTCATCCCAAATCAAGAAAGTTTCGTAGGAAAAATAACTAGAAATATATTTTTAAAGTAAAACTCTATCCAAAGCACGCCATTTTCGTAGAAAATAAACTCTTTTAAGTAAAATTCCATCGAAAAGCGAGACATTTTCGTAGGGAAAATAACTGAAAATATATTTCTAAGTCAGATTCCATTCCAAAGCAAGCCATTTTCGTAGGAAAACCAACTGAAAAAATATTTGTAAAGTGATATTCCATGCTAAATCATGCCATTTACGTAGAAAAGTAACTGGAAATATATTTTTAAAGTAAATTCTATACAAAAGCATGGCATTTTCGCTGGAAAACCAACTAGAAAAATATTTGTAAAGTGAAATTCTATCCTATAGCACGCCATTTTCGTAGAAAAGTAACTGGAAATATATTTTTAAAGTAAAATTCTATACAAAAGCAAGGTATTTTTGTCGGGAAACCAACTCGAAATATATTTTTAAAGTAAAATTCTTTACAAAAGCAAGGTATTTTCGTAGGAAAACCAACTCGAAATATATTTTTAAAGTCAAATTCTTTACAAAAGCAAGGTATTTTCGTAGGAAAACCAACTCGAAATATATTTTTAAAGTCAAATTCTTTACAAAAGCAAGGTATTTTCGTAGGAAAACCAACTCGAAATATATTTTTAAAGTCAAATTCCATGCTAAATCATGCCATTTTCGTAGGAAAACCAACTCGAAATATATTTTTAAAGTGAAATTCCATGCTAAATCATGCCATTATCGTAGGAAACCCAACTGGAAATATATTTTTAAAGTAAAATGCTATACAAAAGCAAGGTATTTTCGTAGGAAAACCAACTCGAAATATATTTTTAAAGTGAAATTCCATGCTAAATCATGCCATTTTCGTAGGAAACCCAACTGGAAATATATTTTTAAAGTAAAATGCTATACAAAAGCAAGGTATTTTCGTAGGAAAACCAACTCGAAATATATTTTTAAAGTGAAATTCCATGCTAAATCATGCCATTTTCGTAGGAAACCCAACTGGAAATATATTTTAAAAGTAAAATTCTGTACAAAAGCAAGGTATTTTCGGTGGAACCCGGCAAAAATAAAACAAAAATACATTGGAATATTCACGTCAACTTCGTAAACAGGTTAATGCTGGGTGGTGACTGGTGAATAGGTGGTGAGTGGTGCATGATAGATGAGTATTCTCTCTCATTACCCGGGCAAAGTGAGTGATGCAATCCACGAAGTGGGTGCCGTCAGTTTGTCTGTGCACCTGGGAAATTATGCAAAAAATTGCATATGCATATGTGAAATAACCGATAGCCGAACCCCTTAGGGGGGCGGCGGGTCCCCCCGAGCCGCCCGTGGTGGATGGTGTTCCTTTTTGCATCCACCACCCCTAGCAGGCGACCCCACTCTATTTCCCCCATGGGAAAATGCATGCAAATTTTTACACACAAAAAAATGTATGCAAAACTACATTGCATAATGCTAAAATGCAAACCTGGCGCCAGCCGCGCCGCGCCCCCCGGCATTGCCGTGCCGCGCCTTCCGGCATTGCCGTGTCGCGCCCCCTGCCGCGCCCTCTGCAGTGGTAAGTGGTAAAATGGTAAATGGTGCTCCCGGAGAAAGTGGATGATGCAATCCACCCGTATGTAATATATGCATATAATTTATGCATGCAATCCATGTATGTAATGTGCATATGTATGCAAAGCATTCAATGGACATGTGAGGGGGGGGGGGCGACTGCCCCCCGGCATTGCCGGCCCCGCCCTCTGCGGTGGTAAGTGGTAAGTGGTGAGTGGTCCTCCCGGAGAAAGTGATGCAATCCGCCGTATGCAATATACATGCATGTAATTTATGCAATGCATGTATGTAATGCGGGGGGGGCGACGACCGCGCCCCCTGGCATTGCCCCGGGCATTGTCCCCTGCCCCAGCGGTGGTCGGTGGTAAGTGGAGAGTGGCGGCAGCGGCAGCGGCAGCGGCAGCTTGCTCCCTTTCCCGGAGAAAGTGGTCCTGGTGACGTCAGCAATCAACGGATCAATTCGGGTAATTTGGACTTTCAACGGTATCTTATCTACTAACATCCTTCAATTTTTGAACTCAATTGGATTATTTTTATAAAATTAATTCCACTTCATTTCACCCCATTTCTTATTTCATGCCACGGATTGAGCACATGGTGCAAAGTTAAAGGATGGAAAAATTCGAATTTTTGAACTCAACGAAAAG